GGGAAAGAGATTGGTGATTATTAACATGTTTTCTTACCTTTGTTTTCGCAGGCACTACCTGTAGAAGCAGATAACTTCAAGCTCGGAACGTCAATGTTCTACCTCGTGGTCATATTCTCCGCTATAATCTGGCAAGGATTCTTTCTGGGCGCCATTGGACTCATCTTCTCTGCATCTTCTCTCGTCTCGGGCATTATGATCTCGGTCCTGCTTCCCATCACAGAGGTCTTAGCAGTCATTATCTTTCACGAAAAGTTTCCGCCCGAGAAAGCCGTTTCTCTCGTCCTCTCCCTCTGGGGATTTGTCTCTTACTTCTACGGTGAGGTGAAATCCGAGAAGGCAGCTAAGCAAAGCGAGGAGATAGAGGCGCCTCCTCGGCTTCCAGAACCATAGTCACCTGACTCAGTTCAACAAAACAAGGAACTGGCTCCATAGTTTAGTTAGTGCAATTACATAGATTTCATTTATGCATTGCTTTCTTCAGTTCCAGTCTCAGTTTCCTGCAAGGCTTTTACTACAAAACAGAGCATAAGTTTAACAGCACGAGCACCAAAAACACAGTTCTTTGAAGAAAAGAAATTTATCATTGCATGTTCAAACCAAAATATCTGGATCATTAAGGTCTCTTATTCGAGTTTATGCAAGAATTCAAGGTCGAACGAGTAAAATAACTGAGCAATACAGCCGTGCTGTTTGATCAGCAACAGATGAAATAATCTTACGCATGTATAAATCATCCTTTTGGGTGAATGGAACACGGGGGCTGTCTTCTTCCGACTCCAAGTTGCTTCATCTGCAACGGTTTCATCACCCCATGATCTTGTTCAATATCACCAGCACCAACAGCAGTATATAAAAATCAAGCATGAGACTAGGACCTGTCAATCTCTCGAGAACTCGGTGCCATAAGTTCAACCAGTAGATAGCTTCTCGTAAAGCATACTGCTCATGTCACGATCCGAAAAATATAGCATTGAGTTCGACAAAAACGTTAAAGAGAAACCTTGAAAACTGTCGGTTTTGGATGAAACCCAACCCACCTCAATCTCCTTAGACCTCTTTCCTAATTTTTGATCCCTAAAAGGCCAATCTACGTATCACTTTCCCCACTCTCCTCCTCCCATTGTTGAGACCTAGCAAATTCACTAGTTTATATATCCTCTTGTTATAATCAAATAGTGTTACAGCCTTTGAATCGGATCATACAGCAAATGCATTTGATTTCACAATCAAAGATTTCCCAGATTATGCAAATATAACGTACTCGACCGATAAAAGTCCTCACAAGCTTCTTTCGGTAGAGACGCTTGCTTCACTCTCAATTTCTTCCTTTGCAAACTCCTTCAGTGTAGCGTGCTGACGCTCATTTATTTCATCAGCTGCTCCTATATCCCTCTTCTTGCACAAACCTACTTCTGTTTTTGTCCTTCATGAATACCTTGAAGGGTCTATCACAGTCCTGAAGGAATTCACGTCGTTAGAAATTCTAGTAAGATATACAAAGATTGAGCATATTCAGATGTACCTTTGCCTCTAAGAACAAGCAGTTGGCCCCAAAAAAAATTGTCATTGTCTCTTTGGTATCTGGGACAATGACAATTACCCACCTCCATTACTTCTGTGAGGCTTAAGATTTCAAATTCAAACAAAAAATTTCTCAAGAAATACACCAAAAAAAGAAAGACAGATATCTTGCCTGAAAGTGTAGGAACCTCGATTTTGCCCCCCAAAATGGCCTATTGAAACAGTCACAAAATTCTTTTCTTTAAGATTCATCAAAGGTTTTAGTGCTATACATGTTCAGATACAATCCAAAGGGATAAATAGCAGAAGTAAACAACGAGACAGAAGAGGCAGCGTCTCATAACTAGCAGTTCACACTTCACAAAAACCTAGTGTTTCACATATCGAAAAAAGAAATCATTCAAAATTGGCAAAAGGGTACTCACTTCATGAAATGACTTCTTGATCTCATCCCGGGTAGCATTCCGGGTAACACTGAGAATTTCATAGTAATCAGGGGCAGCAAAGCATAATCTTCCTGAGAAAAACATTAAACTAAAATCCAAAAGGCGTGTTAACACATTGATAAGGAAATATGGGTTTCATGATTCAATCTCAAACAAGCAAAGAGAAAGCAGCAGAAGTCCTGTTGCGTGGAAGTAACGCTTCCAAATATGCTTTCCAAACCCTGCAAATTCAGAAGATTTCCAAGTAATGTAATTGCAAACCAGTGAAGCTTAAAGAATACAGAAAAACACAGACATCAATAGACTAAGCCCGACAAGTGTGCGATTTGTACGGACACTAATTTCCAGGTGTAATTTCGTCGAACACGAAGCAAGCAGAAAGTGATCATAGCCAACGAAAAGACAGCGAACCCAAGATTATCTAGGAGATGAACAACTAATACCTGGTCGCTGTTCGAATGCGGATTCAGCGATTCTTCCCGCCCGTAAATGCCGCAGAATCTACGGAAAACGTGAAATTGATCTTTCTCAGGAAACAAACAGCTTCTTTTTTTTAAGAGAACAAGGAAGCAACTTTTGATTGAGAAACGATAGAAAATTGATCAAGGAGAACTTACCCAGTTGAATCTTGGCATTTGTCTTCTGGAAAAAAGAAATGAACAAGGATTTTGGTTAAACCCTACGCATATGCAAGATTCTCTACTGAAGGGGTGTGTGAAGTCACCTTCCTGTCAGTTCGGAGTGAAGAGAAAAAAATCTTTTTGGAAACACGCGCGACGCGTAATTTTGTAAACACGATTATGCCAAACCGGAATCCGGTTTGGTTTTATCTTGACCAAAATGGGAAAATTTGCAAACCGAAACCCGGTTTGAACAAAGAAATGTTTTACACGAAGATCAAAACGTGATCTTTTTATATCCAAAACGAGAAACCAATCGATTCTGAAGAAGCTTCGAATCCATCGTGGTCGAGAGGGATCAGTCATGAGCGAGCATGAGAGCCATGGCAGCAAGGTCTCGAACCCGGCTTTGTCGGAGTCAAAGCCTTCTCCTTCTCCTTCTCACTCGTCCGACTACGCTCCGTACCCTACTTTGGACCCGAACGACGTCGCTCCTCCGCCGCGTGCTCCGATCTCCGGTGTTGCTGCTACCACCTTGCCGTCGGAGTCCAACCCTTACGTTTCTCCTGCTCCTGTGCCCAAGAATGAGTTCGATCGTTTCACTGGGTGGTTTCGAGTCATTCGGGTGAAAATTTTCTGTTCGATTGATGATTTCGTGGTTGGATTTGGGGGGCAGATAAGATGGATTCGGTGAAGGATGTGTTGGGGAGGTGGGGGAAAATGGCGGCGGAGGCGACGAAGAAGGCGGAGGATCTCGCCGGAAACATGTGGCAGCACTGTAAGCCGTTTCTGGTCCATTCTCATGCTGAAGTTTTCGATGTTCTTGTTTTCTGCGGTCTATTGGATTCGATTCAGATGATTGCAAATTGATGATTTCGTACTGAAATCTGATTAGGGTCTCTCTTACGCGCCACAACTGCTTAGTGAACTTTGCTATGATGGTTAAATGGATCATCAAATACAATTTCTCTCTGTCCCTTAAACTTTCATGGAGCTTTCCATGGAAATTTGCTTTTGGTCCTCTTTCATCAATAGAAGTGGAAGAAAAAGGAAAAAGAAAAACAAACATTAAAGCTGTGGTTTTCTCGGGCAGCTTTCAATGGTATTTGTATCCAAACTGCAGATAGAATTATGATTTGAGTCAACTAAGTTCATCATGTTCTTTGTTTTCACCTTAAGGACGAGATCCCGAAAACCCTCCTAGTATCGAGTTATTGGACTTCCGTGAAAGGAATGTGGAAACTCGAAACTGAGCAAGTGATGATCCGATGGGTCTCTCCCGAAAACTCACAAAATGCTGAGTATGTGATGTTCTTGGCAAAACTGCCATCGTTTTTGTGCATCGGGTATTTCATTGTTTCTGTCTTGGGTTTTCAAATCTTGCCTTGGAAAGGCTGTTTTTTTGGGGAGATTTTGACTTGGCTTCTGCTACTTGCACAGTTGTTTGTCTTGTATTTTTGGGAGATTGTGCACATACGGTATTCTTGCTGTTTCTTTCTTCTGAATGTATTCTAGTCTTGGAATTGTGGCTGTTTCTTGCATCTGATGGGGAATTAGTCTCACGAATTCAGTATTGCTCACCAGATTCTCCGTTCGGGGAATTAGTCTAGCTAGTTTGTTGATACGGTGCACTTTACCAGTGAAAACAGGTCCGAGTGTGGCAGATACTGCTGTCTCAAGAATTGCTCAGGGGACAAAAATACTTGCAGAAGGCGGCTACGAAAAGGTCTTCAAGCAAACGTTCGAGTGTTCTGATGATGAGCAGCTTCTCAAGACATATGCCTGCTACTTGTCTACATCTGCTGGTCCTGTAATGGGCGTTCTCTATCTGTCAACTCACAAGCTCGCGTTTTGCAGTGACAATCCTCTCTCCTACGAAGTCGGTGACCAGACTCAATGCAGCTATTACAAGGTACGTCTTTTCGTTTTATGCTACTCCAATCAATCCATCATTTGTATACCCACAATAATCATTCTTTTTTTAGACAAGTCTTTTGAAAAGTTTAAAACTTTTACAAGAACACCTGTTGCCCTTGAACTTGTCACAAAACAGATAGCATCATACGCTGCAATGCATAAAAGTAGTAGTTTTACGCTCTCATAGCAATTGCCAGGAAGTGGCATACTTCTATCCAGAGTCGAGGTCCAGGGAGAGCGTAATACCAAAGTATTGGTTTCCCAAAAGGGTCGAGTCGAGCTATATCTCTTAAGAAACGGTGAAGGGCAAAAGGGAAAATATGTATAGCTAGACCAGTAAATCGTGGCCATGAGCCAGATAATTTTAGCTCTTTAGCTTATTTTTATAATATGCACATTCTCCATCCATGGCTATATATACGGTCCAATGATTTGATTGCTCTCACATGAACAGGTGATACTTCCACTGAACCAGTCAACCAGCTCAAGGCAGTGAACCCATCAACAAGCAGAGTAAACCCGTCTGAGAAATACATCCAAATCATTTCCATCGACAACCACGAATTCTGGTTTATGGGATTTGTGAACTACGAAAGCGCGGTGAAGAACCTTCAAGGAGCCTTTCTGCCGCAGAATCCATGAGGTCATTCGGATTGCAGCTCTCTAATCTGGTGCATTGTATTGATTGATTGTGTTAGAAACGCCTTTGTTCTACCATACAAGTTCATGTGTTTGTAGTGAATAAGGTCCTTCTGTGCATTAGGATAGACATCATAGGGATACATTCTTGTATATTCTGTATATTTACCCTATTGAAATGAGAATTGGGCATTGTTTTAAGGTTTCATGTGTTATTATTATCCAGTTTCATGGAAGCTTGGTTACAGACAGAACATGGAAAGTGTTTGACATATGACATCTTCAGTCCCTTGTGCTGTTCTTCAGCCATTCCAGATACTGAGGACTCCCACCAGTAATAGGCAATGCTATTACTTCAGGAACACTACAAGAAACAAGTGGGAAGAAATCCATTAAAGAGTATACACATTTCGTAAAATCCTTTAAATGGTTTTGAAATGAATCACACTTACTCATATTCATGATTTGCTTTGACGTGTTCTTTCAGAGCATCCAAAAGGGATTGCCTTGTTTTGATGATCAGCAGCTCCTCTGCATCACTCTGGATCTGAAATCAAAAAAGAAAGAAATGGGATTTTGAGTATGCAAAATCTCGATTTAAGATTCGAGATTAACAATGCTTGTATTGACAGACACCGGGAGCAGTAAATATTATCGTGATCGCAATGCTTGAAGGAGGAATCAGGCCCTCAAAAGTGTAAGGTTAATGGATTCTTTCGAAGTTTTATGTCATGTTCTGGTTATAGATCAGAGAAGTTTGTTACATTTCCTTCCCATTGATACACTGATTCAATACCTGCATCCAACAAAACATGCATGACCAGAGTTTAGCCACAGATTGAAAACCATGAAACATGGGTTTATTAGAATAAGCTTCAACAATTTATCTTCATGATATCACTTATTACAGTGTCCAGCCGATTCAATTCAACACACAGAGAAGGATTTTCTACGGAAATCATCAAACAGAAGGAAACCCGAGAGCATGAACTGTTAAAGCTGTTTCCTTTGCATAGTGAAAGGTTTCTCCGGGAGAAAAAAGGCGAGATTAAAACCCGAGAAGGTGAGTAAGTACCCGGAACAATGTTCACACAAGCTGCGAGCTTCTCTTGAACTAAGCTGTTAGCCAATTTCTTCCCTGTCAATAAGGTAAAAGTAAACCGACCACAAACTTTGAATTCAGTATCCATCATCAAGTCTCTCATACTCTACCAATTCATATTCAATATGGCAAGTAGCATAATTAATCATTTGGCTCTGAGGAGAAGAAGGGTAAGCTCATATAGATCCAGTTAACGTAACATCCCGCGACGTTATGGATGTTGAAACTGTTTCCACCGACCAATGCAATACTTTTCGGCGTGTTTTGTCATCAGTCGCATATTTTTTTGAGAAATACTTCCCATGAGGCCACCCACCTTAAGACTATTCTAGTACGAGCACGCTTAACTTCAGAATTCTCACGGGATAAACAATCGAAAAGATAGATTTATTTTGTTGGTATGAGTAATTCAATTAATTCTTTTAAGTTATCGTTGATTGTGTAGTCTCGTATCTATACAACCTTCGAATCTCTCTCATTCCGGTGTATTCGATTCGTCCCCATGTTACTCCTACCTAGAACCCTACTAGAAGTCACTCCTTTGCCGTGTACCCTTTCACACTGATGATCACTCCCCGCCTTCTTCGGTACCCGGGACATCACAGTTAAATTGGTAAGAAACTATACATTGTATAAAAGATAAAACCCATCTACGCAAAAATCTCATAAACAATGACAAACTCCTGTCTTGGTTTCTCTCCATAATCTGTAACATTCTCCCTAAGCATTACCCCATTTTCTGACCTTCAGAACAGTGAGATTCGTTCATGTCTTTCATCAAAACACATGAACTGACAACAAACCTATGATCCAATTAGGTCAATGGGCGATCAATAAACAACAAAAAATGTCAACATTCGACTGCTCAACCGAAGCAAAACAAGCAATTAAGAGTATGAACCACAAGTGAAAACACCTGCTTCTCTGTTAGGGACAGTGACATAGACAACAATGGCGGGAACAGTCTTGCTTCTCTCTTCCATTCTGAACTTCGACCTGCAACTTTTCCCACTTCTAAGATCAAAAACCCAGAAAAATATTTACAATCAAAAGCAGGAAAGATCGAAACTTTCGTGCAGTCGACCTTGAGAGAGGGCTAAAGGAGAGAGATTGACCACTACCCGTCTTGGAGAAAGGCGAAGAAGACAGGGAAAGATTCAAGAAACCCAAGCTTAGCATACAAAACGCGCCCACAATCGGTAAACGATGTCGTATTACGGCGGAAGATCCAACGATTGCAGAGACTCTGCTGCTAGAGACGAATCCCATATCTTCGAGTTTTGTATTTGTACTCAATTTGCCTATCTGTTAAGGTTCAAGTGGCTGGATCCTCCTCAAGAAGAACTGGCCAGCTTTATTGATCACCAAAACAAGGTACAATCTGGATGACTTTGATTTGAGAGAGGTCCCCACTCTCTTCCTTTACAAGTTTTCTGCAGAATCTCGCTAACCCTTCTCCCTCAATTCTACTTCTATTTATACAATCCCCTCCTAACAGAAACTCTAACTACTAACCAATATAACGAACTACAAACAACTATACAGCTGTCACACAACTATACTAACTAACAAACACACAACAACCAATAGGTGCGTACCTTTGCTTGTAGAGCCCTCCTGTTGACTTAATTGCTTCCTTCTGCTTCTGCTTCTTCAGCCTTGTTCCCTTCTGCTTTTGCCTCTTCAACCTTGTCCCCTTCTGCTCCTTGCACCTTCTTCTATCCTCTCCTGCCTCTAACATACACCCTGTAGTATCTATCAATACCTTCCCCTTTTTGTTTCAGCTTGTCCTCAAGCTGGAATGTTGGAAACTGCTTGTTCAAATCCTCAGCTATCTCCCATGTCGTTTCATGTTCAGGTACATCCTGCCATTCCACCAAAACTTCTAGTAATCCTTCTTTAGAATATCTGAAGTCCTTGATCTCGTTCGGCTGTACTACCAACTCCAACTCTTCGGACAACTGGATCGGAATCTGATTTGGTTGCAGATTGCTTCCTGCTGCCTTCTTTAGCTGTGATACATGAAAGACTGGATGAATATGACAGTCTTTTGGTAACTTCAGTCTATAGGCTACCTTTCCTACCCTTGCCTCTACTTGAAACGACCCGTAAAATCTGGCTGCTAGCTTCTGATTACTCCTTGCTGCCAGTGACTTCTGTCTATAAGGACGAATCTTCAAATATACCCACTCTCCCACCTCCATTATGACATCTCTCCTCTCTTTATCAGCCCTGGTCTTCATCTTCTGTTGTGCTGACTGTAACCTCTGCTTAATCTCTTCTAACATATTGTCTCTTTCCCTTTCCAACTCAAAATTTGTAGTTGAACCTTCTTCATACTTCAATAATGTTGGTGCTTCTCTGCCATATACAACTTGAAACGGAGTAGCTTGCAATGCTGTATGGAATGCCGTATTATACCAAAACTCAGCCCAACTCAAAAACTGTACCCATTTCCTTGGATGTGCACTTGCATAACACCTCAAATATGTCTCTAAACACCTGTTTAACACCTCTGTCTGTCCATCAGTTTGCGGGTGATACGCAGTACTGTACTTCAACTTTGTTCCTGCCATTCTGAAAATTTCTGACCAAAAATGACTCAGAAAAATCTTATCTCTATCTGATACGATGGTCTTTGGAAAACCATGCAGTCTCACTACTTCCTGCACAAATGCTTTCGCCACCACCATAGCTGAAAAAGGATGCTTTAAAGCTATAAAATGCGCATATTTACTCAGTCTATCAACCACAACCAACACGACATTAAAGCCTGCAGATTTTGGAAGTCCTTCAATGAAATCCATTGACACATCTTCCCAGATTCTATTTGGAATAGGTAAGGGTTGTAACAATCCTGCAGGAGCTAGAGTCGAATACTTCTGACTCTGACAAACTACACATTCTGAAACATATTTCCTGATGTCAGCCTTCATTCCAATCCAGTGAAACACTTCCTGTATTCTTTTCATTGTCTTCAACACCACTGAATGGCCTCCCACTACACTGTCATGGAATTCTGTCAAAATTGTAGCAATGAAGCTTGAATGTTGAGAAACCACAACTCTGTCCTTATACCTCAATCTGCCTTGTATTAAGTGATATTTGCCCACCTTCTCTTGTCCCCCTTTTAGTTGATCCATTATCTCTTTCAATTCCTTGTCCTGCAAAATCTCCTTATCTAACTCCTCCAATTGAATACTTTTCGGCATGGTCATAGCTAAAACCATTGCTATTGCTTCCAGACTTGCATTCTGCGGTATTCTGGAAAGGCCATCAGCTGCTTTATTCTCCACCCCTGGCCTGTACACAATCTGAAAATCATACCCTAGGAGTTTAATAAGCCAACGTTGGTATTCCATGCTCACCTCGCGTTGTTCCATGCTGAAGGGGGGAGTATTGATAAGTACTACAGAAGGATTAGGGGCAAAGGTATGCAGCTAGTGTGGTGGTTGTTTGTGTGTGTAGATAGCATATAGGTGTTGACATTTATTTGGCTGTTTTGTTAGTTGTTTCCTTAGGGTTGGTAGTAGTTAGAGGATTCTGTTAGGGAGGGGATTGTATAAAGAAAGGAGGAGGAGGGGGAAAGGGGAAGGGATTTTCTGGTGGAGAACTGGGTGGGGAAGAGAGTAGGAGCCTCTCTCTAATCAAAGATATCCGAAGTGTATGGTTTGGGTGTTCAATAAAGCTGCTGGAGTTTCTCTAAGGAGTGGTTCGAGCATCAGAACCTTAACAAATTGGTATCAGAGCAAGTCTAAGCCATGACGAAGAGCAACACGCAACGCTGGGAACAATTGGAGGATACGGTCCATGACAGATGCGAGAAAATCGAAGAAACAATGGCAGATTTACAGAAGTAGTGTTCGAAAATGGATTACCTGGTGAAACAATGCTCGCGATTTGAGGCGATGGAGCAGATGCTGTCGAAGCTGTGTCGGTTGTTGGAAGCTGATTGCGATCGCCAGGATTCTTCTCCAGATTCGATTTCGCCGCCGGCAACAGGAGCTGACAGATCGCAATTCAATCGCGATCCAGAGCCGAAAGCCGATTGCGATCACGAACCGAAGATTCGTCCAGAGGTTCGAGAGGTGATTCTGCAGCCGAAAGAGGAAGGCGATGTGCAGCAACAGGAGCGATTCATCGGAAACAACAGTTCGCACCTCAAGGTGATGCCGATCGCATCCGTCGATCGCATAGAGGCTAATCATGACCAGAACATACCGATTGGAGAATTGCCGATTGATCGTGACAAAGTCCCAAAGGTGCAGACAACGGCTGGGTTTACAGATTCATGGGATAGGGGACTATCAAACAAAGTGCTTTCGAACCGAGTCGTCAGATCGAAGGAATCGCACTTGCGAAAGGTTGAAATGCCAGTCTTTGAAGGTAACAATGTTGTTGGTTGGATTACACGTGCTGAGAGTTATTTTGAATTAGGAGGCAGTAAGGAATTGGAAGGATTACGCTTGGCTTCGATGCGAGTTGAGGTGGAAAAGCAACTGAAGATACAGACACAACGATTGAAAGATGATGCTTTGCGTAGAGAAAGCTCGAACAGACTTCCAGATTTGTTGAAATTGGAAGAGTTGGAGCGAAATTCTCGATTGGTCCATGTCGGCGTTCCGCATCGAACGAAGACTAGGGAAGACTTCTACAGCCCTCTCTGTAACCACATCGTTGTCACCGACTCCGAACGCAAGGTTCAGATTTTCGGCGATGACCTCGAGGTTCTGAATCAGTTTTACTCTAACATCGAGCAGGATTTATCACCGGCGGTTAGCCGTGACTTTCTCATCACTTACTGTAAAGCTTTCTGCCAAACAAAGACGGAGAAAGCGAGGTTTGAAGAGAATGAGATTAGTGCTTGGAATATTCGAATTGAAACATTTTTTGCAATCGGAGGAGGTGCGGACAGCGAGAAGCATCAATTGGCTGAAATAATAGATAGGAATGATAATGTTGGCGTGAATTCATGGTCCGGGTCAGTTTTAGAGTTTGGGGAAAAGGGACTGTATACACGAGTTGACAGGGATTTAGACAAAAGTGCTGATTATGGAGAATTCATGGATAAGAAAAAACCTGTACCTGATGGGTGTGGGTGGAAGATGGTAAGGAGAGCCACGTGGTGAGGTGTAGTCATCATAACACACAAAAGTAAGGATAGTGAGAGAGAAAGGTTGGATGATGCTGTGTGGGTTGGAGAACAGTTATATTTTGATCAAAGTGGAAAAATTATAAGAGAGTTTGGTATGAAAATTCTGCAGAAAGTGGATTCCCATGAGATGATGAAATTTGGTGCAAATTCACCGGGAACACAAATGTTGGAGGAGTTAAAACAGAGGTTGCAGTCAGCACAACAGAAGAGGAAGACTGGGGCTGATAAAGAGAGAAGAGATGTGGTATTTGAAGTGAGAGAAGGGGTGGAGTCCGAAGATGAAGCTGGTGGTGCAACCAAAAGAGATCAAGGATTTTAGCTTGAGGACAAGCTAAAGCTGAAGGGGGGAGTATTGATAAGTACTACAGAAGGATTAGGGGCAAAGGTATGCAGCTAGTGTGGTGGTTGTTTGTGTGTGTAGATAGCATATAGGTGTTGACATTTGTTTGGCTGTTTTGTTAGTTGTTTCCTTAGGGTTGGTAGTAGTTAGAGGATTCTGTTAGGGAGGGGATTGTATAAAGAAAGGAGGAGGAGGGAGAAAGGGGAAGGGATTTTCTGGTGGAGAACTGGGTGGGGAAGAGAGTAGGAGCCTCTCTCTAATCAAAGCTATCTAAAGTGTATGGTTTGGGTGTTCAATAAAGCTGTTGGGGTTTCTCTAAGAAGTGGTTCGAGCATCAGAACCTTAACAAGTTCTTTGCTTGATGGGCTACAAAATTTTCTGGAATCTGCCGTCCTAAAATTTAAAATTGAAATGTATGGGTCTATAATGCATATTTTTAACAATAGAGGGGCCTCTGAGGGAAAAAGGGGACAAAATTTTTTGTATTTTTTAAAAGTTTTATTTTTTCTTCCTGTACGAAAAATCTAAGCACGAGATCTGAATATTCGTAACTCGTGAACTCGTTGTTAAACCCTTTAACTCGAGATATTTGAATTCGTACTTAAAACTATAAAATTGATTATAAATTAAATGTTTTTAATAAATCATCAAAATTTATACAATTTCTATACAAATTTTATAACGAAATCATTCAAAATTATACAATTATACAATTTGTAATTTCAAATTATACAAATCGAAATTCTTATAATCTTAAATAAACATAACAAATATAATAATTAATAAAACTATATATAGCTAAAGATATAATTCACCTAAAATGACAAATGATTATTTTTTGGGGTAAAAATATAATAAAGCTAAACATTTGGGGCAAAAGAGACAAATAGCGTAAAATCCTAACGGCGTCGGGTTTTAAAATGACGCAGACATGTGAAAACCCTAATCTCGCCGGAAAGATGAGCGACTTCGAAGCTACGGCGCTAAGACCGGCGGAGATCGCCGGAAGAGGAAGAGCTCTGGTGGCGGCGCGGCCTCTACGACCAGGCGAAGTCGTTTTGAGAGAGTCCCCTCTCCTCCTGTACTCCGCTTTCCCCTTCCTCTCATCCGCTTCTCCATCGTACTGCGGCCATTGTTTCCAATCTCTAGCTTCGTCTGCTCAGAAATGCAGTGGTTGTTCTCTCGTCTTCTTCTGCAACCCTAAATGCTTCTCCTCCCACACCCCTTGGCTCTGTGAATCCCTCCGCCGTCTCCACAGCTACTCCTCCGCCGCGTTCTATGATCAACCACCGGAACGCCAAGTACAAGCTCGGTTCCTCCTCGCCGCCTACAATCTCGCCGCCGTGTCTCCTTCCGATTTCCAGGTATTACTCTCTCTCCAAGGCGGGGGAGTTGGAGACCCTTCTTCTCCGGCGGATTCTTCCGCCGCCGGATTCCTTCACTCGCTCCTATCCTCCGTGTGTCCGTCATTGTCGGTACCCATCTCGCCGGAGCAGACGGTGGCTCTCTTGGCGAAGGACAAGACCAACGCGTTCGGATTGATGGAGCCCTTCTCGCCGTCGGAGGAGAAGAGATCAGTGCGCGCCTACGGGATTTACCCGAAGGCGTCGTTCTTCAACCATGATTGTCTTCCAAATGCTTGTAGGTTTGATTATGTAGACTCCGATTCTGATGGGAATACTGATATCATCATTAGGATGATCCATGATGTTCCCGAGGGAAGAGAAGTATGCTTGAGCTACTTCCCAGTGAATCTAAACTACCCGAGCAGGCAGAAAAGATTGCTCGAGGATTACGGTTTCACCTGTGACTGTGACCGGTGCAAAGTGGAAGCTACTTGGTCTGATAACGATGAAGAAGAAGACGAGGCCATGGACGAGGAGAACGACGAAGAAGATGAAGAACAAGAAATGGAGGGTTCAGACAAAAAGAATGAAGAAGCTTCTATGAATGGTGGGGATGAATCGGATTTTCCTCACGCATACTTCTTCGTGAGATATATGTGCAGTCGGGAGAATTGCGGGGGCACTCTTGCTCCACTTCCCTCGGCCCCATCGATGATTCTTGAGTGTAATGTTTGTGGCAGTCTCAAGGAAGATGAAGTGGGTGATAATCAATGAGACCAAAAGGACTCGCCTTTAACATTCTCGTGAGTAAATCCTCTTGCCCTTTTGATGTTTTGATGTGGATTTCTACCTTTTGACCGGATACGTTTAGGTAAAGTTATGATGCAGTGAAGGTATTGTTGAACAGAATCTAGGTACTCACTATCGTTATGAACATTACAATTTATGCTTAGGATGCGTAAATTGAGCTCGAGATATGGAGTTGTAGAATCTGAAAACAATTCGAGAAATTCTATAAGTCATCTAGTGTTGTCGTCGATTTTTGGTTTGTCGGGTTTCCTCTAACTGATCAAGTAATGGATCTTTTTCATCTTGCAGATCATTTTTGCCATGAGGCTTGATCCGACATGCGTTAGATTCAAGATTTAGCCGAAATCCCAGACTCGATCTTCAAAGGTATGTGAATGTGTGTCAGTGTGGTCCAAATTATTTTCATGTTGTGGATTTGATGGAAAGGGTTGGGCAGGCGTTTCTGGCTTGGTTTGATTCTGTTTAGTTGTGGTAAAACCCCGAGTTAAGGATTCAGAACTTAGATCAATGTGTTGGTTTGGTATGAAAACATCAAGTGGAATGGGCCATATATGTTGTGTTATGTTGTTATATGTGGTATCCGCCATTCAAATGCTATACACGCACATACATTATACAAATACTATATATATATATATACGGTAGGGTGTCAAACGGTCCGTCTGACTCGAGCTCGCAATTCATCCAAGGATTTTGGCTTTGGGGTTCGGACTGGCCCGAATTTTTCAGGACTATAGAATCAAGCCCGAAGCTTGGTCCTATAGAACTTGGGGTCGGCCCGTCTAGCCTTTACTTTTGTATGAAGATTTTTTTCATATTATTATTTTTTTTTAATAAATCTGGCTTCAAAGCGTTTCGAAATCCTATTTGACCTATTTGAATCCGATCCAAAAATCTGAATTTTTTTCGTGCCTACAAATTCAAGTCAGAACTTGATATTTTTCAGATGAACTTGGGGTTTCGAGTTAAAATACACTTGTAAGAATATACACTTATAAGTGGGCTGGACATAAACACCCGAAAATCAGGCATCCGCGGGTACTCGTCACATGGATATCTGATTTTTGGATATTCGCAATTATTCAAATCCGAATCCGAATTTATGAATACGCTCGAATCCAAATTTAAATCCGGATAATAGAATTTTTAAAAATGGATATATGCATATATATACGGCTAGTTTTGTTCTAAATAATTATAATCTATATCTATATAATATTTTTATAAAATATAATTCTTTTAGATTAAATAATTTCGTATTTCCCAATATTACCTCAAAAAAATTAAATTTATTATTATTTAACTTTTATCATCTCTTTATCTCCTACTCACTATAATTTACTAATTCATCTATACTTGTAAATATATCTTTATTTTTTTTAAAATTTATATATAAATATTATTATTATTATTTTTCTTAAATGGATACAGATTCTTCTGCGAATACCTGAACGTTATTTTAGATACTCGTAAATCTTAAAATAAGATTGCTCGACACTTTTGGATGCAAATCGAAATATTCCGATTTTTTTTTCGGCACCTTTACTTTACTTTTAAGTCGCCTCCTATGATTTGCGCCTTGAGTGGGAATGGGCTGGTTCGGCCCATCAAGATGAGTCCACTCTTCCTGTGGTTGGACTCGAGGAAACAAACTGCGTGTCGTTCTAAGCTTTGACGCGTAGAACTGCGTGCCGTTTATTTGGATAAAAATGGTAGAAAGTCTAAATCGGTGATACACATATAGGGTTTAGGACATTTGTGGGTCAAGCAATATTGAAGCTGATGAAAAAATAAATTCGAGAAATCTGGATTCAAATTGTTTTAAAAAATAAATATTATTATTACCAAGATCAAGATCGAATTTGAAAAAAAATAAAAATGTCGATACGAAACCAAATCCAAAAACAGAAGCTGAATAGAAAAGAAAATTCCTAAAACAAAAAAACAGCCTAATAAAACTAGGGGTGGGCGTTTCGGAAAACGGTTCGGTTCGGGATAGGAATGGATCGGTTCGGTTTTTTCGGTTTTACAAAAATAGATACCAATCGGTTTTTATATTGTGTTCGTTTCGGTTGGTTTCGGTATCGGTTCGGTTCGATTCCGGATTTTATTTAAAAAAAAGATAGATTTTAAAAAAAAAAATATTCGGTTTTTCGGGTTTTTTAAAGTTCGGTTCGGTTCTGAAAAAATTCGGTTATCTAAAAATAATACCGTTCGGGAATTGAGAACGGTTTCGGATCGGGATTAATACCATTTTTCGGTTCGGTTCGGTTCGGTCCGGTTTCGAAGAAGCGAATCGAAACGCCCACCCCTGAACAAAACCCAAATCAAGAACACAAACATGTACCCACATTGGTAATAGAATGGCAAAACGGGCAGAAAGAAAGAGAAAATTAGGCGGGATTGGTAATCGTAAAATTTTCAGAAAAAAAAAGAAGAGGGTAGTCAAAGTAGGACAACTATATGGTCAAACTCTTTATATATATATATATATTAATATATGTATATATATATAATAAAAGACCAAAAAAAAAACAAGAGGGATACGTAGACCAAACGGCTTAGGAAATAGGAAGTAAAGCTTTACCCGTCTGGTTATATCATCCTATGACCGCACACTTCATGGAATTTGCATTCCCTCAACTTCCATAATTATTCATTTTTTAAACAAATAAATAAATAAATATGTCGAGAACTATACTCTATACTTTGGCTTATACAATTCCACGTCATTACCAAATATGTCAACAACTCTCTTAAACTTGTATCAAACTTAGCATGCAAAGAAATCCATAATTTTATTTGCCGCAAATAAAATTCTATTTTTTTTTATATGTTTTATTTAATCTTAATAAATTTGTTATATTTTAGAGTTGGTATGCATTAGAATTTGCTAATGATATAAGTAGAAAAAGGTGATGTGTATATATAAACTAAGAGTGGGGACTTAGTATTCAAGTTTCCTAGCTTTTTTAAAGTTTTTTTTTTCCATGTTATATAATTTAATTTATGCCTCATTTATTTATTTTTTTCCACTTATTTATGCTACTTTGTTTATTTATTTATTTTATAAGTGAAATACTGTTTGAGGGTGTATTAGTAGGACTTTAGGAGTTTGGAATAGTCTCATTGACTCTAATACCGTTTTTCAAAGCTTTTCAAACTGCTAGATTTAGATTTTGGGTTATTATTATTATTATTATTATTATCAAATTATTATTAAAATAGGATATTCCTTTTCCTTAAACGTGATCCTTTAATGTTGAGTATAACATTTAATCCTAAGACCTTAAGACCAAAAAATAAAAAAAAATAAAAAATAAAAAAGAAGACAACACATCATATGTAAGAATTTTCCAAAAAGCACACTCAATGAGTTTCTTTTTCCGGTCTTCTTTCTAATAATTTATAATTTATTTATTTATTTTTTAAAATTATTTGTTTCCCTAGAGTTCAACAATGTGCCACGGCGTTCTTAATTAATAATTAGTAAACTTAATCACCATTAAAACACACAAGTTGGACCATATCCTTGTTAATTGACGCAGACACACACACATATATATATACACATACATTATGTATATACATGCCCTCAAAGGCAAAACTCCATTTCTGTTTCTTCAGAGCTCAAAGCCAAGATCTCAAAGGCATCAAAATTTCATGATCTCCCTCGGAAGATTCAGCCATAAACCCTAATCTGTAAAACCCTGAATCCAGAGATAAATGGGTCGTGAAAAGTTCAACAACATCGCGAAGATCACGAAGCTTCTGGTGAGATTGCACAGTTCGCCGTCGTTCTGGCTCTGTCTCCCGACCAAAGCCTGCCGTTCCGACATAACCCGTCGCCGGAAAATCATCAAGCTCGTCAGATCCGACGGCTCGTTCGAGATCTACGACCGGCCGGTCGACGCCTCGGAGCTCATGAGAGATTTCCCCAAGCACATGGTGTGTCGGTCGGATTCTCTGTTCATCGGCCAGAGAACGCCTTCGCTGTCGGAATCCGACAGGCTTGAGCCGGGGCACAACTACTTCCTTCTCCCCTCCAGTTTCTTCCAGAACGCTCTCTCCTTCGTCGCCATCTCCGCCTTGAACAAGAACCCTAAAAACGACGGCGTTCTCATCAGAAACCGAAGATCTTCGAGGAATCATCGCCAACCTTTCCAGATACAGAAAGGGTCAAACGGGTCGCTGAGAATCCGCGTGTCTGAAGATTTCTTGTCGGAGCTGATAATGGAGGGAGGCGACAAAGCCGTACAAGACGAAGAAGATGTACGGAACAGTAGGGTTTGTACGACGGTTCAGTTGCAGAAAGATTACGCTCAGCTCGTGGGTTCACGTACATGGAAACCTAAATTGGAAACGATAAAGGAGACGAAGACAAAGACAAGGGCAAGAGTCTCCAAGTTTCTGGTGATGAAGAGAAGAAGCAGCAAAGAGAAGAATCATCAGTCTCGTCCATTGATGTCTGAAGATGATTCAAGCGCCAAACCTCGTAAGGTTCAATCGAAATCGAAATCGAAATCTAAGAACAGAATCAGAAAACCCATTTGTCGTAAATAGCGGAATCTGTATTTGTTTTTGTAGAGATTCTTGTTTTTTTTTTTGGGTCTCATTTAGATTTGTGTCACTGCTGAATCAAAACGCAAAAAAAAAAAAAAAAAAAAAACCTTCCCCATTCAATATACATAGGATTATCAAATTCATGCAGTTGTATACATAATTCCCAATTTTGTATGAATTTAATTTCAATAAAAAGGGGTAGCAAAATTCGATGATAAGACATTGAAAATCAATTTAAATTTAAAACTAAATATATATAATATTTTTTCCAAATAAAGCCGGTAAAAGATAGCTTAAAATATGTTTTTTTTTAATTAGAATCGAATGTAAATCTGACCAAAATTTAAAACATGTTAAAAATCTGACATAAAATTGAAATTGGTATAACTCAACTAAATCTAATGATTTTGAATTTAAAAATAACCAAAATTTGATATATGAAGATTGCTTCGGCGAAAATGTGTTAACAAGTGAACTCGTTTTAATCGTTGTAATGATACGATTAAATTACAGAAAATCACATATTAATAAACAAACTTATAAAAAAATATCTCAAATAAATATACTAATTTTAAAGTTTCCAAATAAATATAGGAATCCTTCCTAATATAATCCTGAATTTTTTTAAAACATAATGGAATTAAATTTTAAACGTCTCCTAAAAACTTTAATGAAATTAAACTCTAAATGATTGAAACTTCAGGATAATAAATTAAAAAAAAAACTATATTTTTTTGAAAAATTTAAATTCCATTTATTTATTTTTCTGCTATCAATATCCATTTTTTTTTTGTTAAATTAAAATGTGGCCTTGTACCATAAAAAAATGGAAGAAAACACGTGTTTATGTATAGTGTGAGCAAAAAGACAAAACAAGAGTCAAACACACAAAGGTCATCTGAAACGGCTTCTCTTTCACTAAAAGCCAAAACTACGAGCCGCCTACTACTAGAATTTTCTCACAACTAATGTACAGTTATCGGTTGTGTAATGAAGAAAAATAATATTTCTTTTTTAAAAAAATATATATATATTTTTTTTGTAGTATATGATAAACAATTGTATAGCCAAGAAAGTGTATTGAAGTCACCCAAGAAAAATTTAGATATAGGTGGTCCATCACCGCAGTATTTAATAACCATTTTCAAATTTTTAATTCAGATTTAGTTCGATTATTTTGTATTTTTATTTTTTTTAAATAACATCTGTTGATTTTTATATAATATTAGGATTCATTTAAGATCAGATTTCGATTTCGTTTTTTTTTTATAACCAGGATGGTTCCTCGGGCCTTCGACCCGACTATTAGGGGTGGCCACTTCGGTTATTAACCGAATAACCGAACCGAACCGAACCGAATAAGTCGGTTCAGTTCGGTTATTTGCTTAATAACCGAACGGTTGAGGAAGTTGAATAACCTTTCGGGTTCGGTTCGGTTCGGTTAATAACCGAATAACCGCGGTTAACCGAACGGTTATTGAATTTTTTAAATATTTTAATTTTTATTCTCATTATTATTAGTATTATTTTTTTATACTTCACTTTTAACCTTATATATTTCACCCAATAAACCATAAAATGTAATGTTTTTAACTTTTATCCTAACTTTTATCCTAGTTTTTAGATTTTTTTATAATTTTATTTTTACATGATTAATCATTTTGTATATTTATTTAAATAGATATTTTGAAATTTATGTAGGATTAATAAATTTTTAAAAAAAATATATCATAACCGAACCGAACCGATCTAAAACCGAACCGAATAAACCGGAAAATATAATAATTTTATTATGAAAAAACCGAACCGAACCGAACCGAAACCGAACTGAACCGAACCGATTAAATCTATATAACCGTTTGGATATGATTTTTTTATAACCGAAATAATCGAACCCGAAATAACCGAATCGAAAACCGAACCGAAACCCGAAATGGTCACCCCTACCGACTATATCCACCTTAGGCCCGGGACCAGTCTTTATATATATACCATTTTAGTCCAGAAATTACATCCCTCTCCACCAGTGGAATCGAACCCAAGACTTTGAGGATGACTTTGTCATCTCTCAGCCACTGGACCACCAACTGTTGGGTAAAAGGACACCGTTTTTTTTGTTACAAGATTAATATTCATTATGTGACGTTTAAATATAAACCGATACCTTTAAACCGTATATATTTAGACAAATCCTGGCTCGCTCCTAAATCTAGTTAAAAGACAAAAAATATTGAACCATTTATATCTAACCTTAAAATGTTGGCCGGAAAATCGGGTTCGAGGGACAATTAGGTCGATCCATGTGAGAAGCGGCAAAATTAGGTTTATTCATAGGTAATATTTTGTATATATTTCATGGTAGAAATCCGTTTATTTAAAATAAATAAATAAATTTTTGGTAGTGATTTGAAACGGGTTGACTCGATCTGCTCAGATTGTACCGAGTCAATTCGTTTTCGACTCAAATCGTTTGTCTATTTTTGTAAATAATAGAGAATCACAAATCTTAAATTTTCGAGGTTTCTCTTGTTTTTCTTGATTTTGTGATTGTTTGTTAGTTTTTAATCCGATCTTTCGTGTGTCACCAAAGAATAAAATACAAATGTTTTTCACATATATATATATATATATATATATATATATATATACAAAATTTTATGAAATCATGAGTTATAATATTACAGACAACATGGTACCAAGAAAACGAGTTCTAAGACATATATACTTATGAAAACATGTGTTTCATTTTTGTTTACTTTGATTTAAATTAATCATTTATAAAAAAGAATAAAAAAACTATATATATACACAATTATACGATATATATATAGATACATACATTCGCCATTGTTGTTAGTTCTAAGGACGACGAAAACGCATTTGCAGAGAGAGAGAGATGAGAGAGAGAGTGTAGACGATGATAGAGAGAATGTCAACGACGTCGTTTTTGTGTTTAATTATTTCTAAAAATAAAATGACCCTCATATCATATCTAGAGAATTTCTAAAAATAAAAGTAAAGTAAAACAAAGAAAAAAACTTCAAATTTTTATTTTTTCTAAATAAAAAATCACTGTATAGTTGTGTTTTCCATATTTTAAAATTTTTAAATATTTATCTAAATAAAGTACATATCCGGTTTTTGGGTGCTTACATAATTTCACACGAAAATTAGTGAAGTAAAAACATAAAACTATCATACTAGAAAATCTAGTAATTTTGAATATATATATATATATATTTTATGAGGGATTATCATAAGATTACCCCATTAATATATCCATAAATTTCACAGTAGAAAATTCATTGCTTTAAGAACAAAACCAACGTAAAAATTAATAGGTAAAATCCCTTCAAGCCTTCAAGGGTATATGCATTCCTCTTCTGTGATATACCATAAATTGAAAAAGAAAAAAAAAGTGAGCCTTCTAATTGAAGAAATTATTTAATCGGAATGCGACAACGTTGCGAGATTTTCACAAATTGAAAAATATAATAAATATATATATATATATATATATATATATATATATATATATATATGTGTGTGTGTGTGTGTGTGAAAAAATGAACCTTCTCATCACTTAATTTCTTCACTTTATGTTAATGTATTATAAATAAATTATTGAGAATCATGAAGAGTTTGAATTTGTTTAAAATATAATAATTCAAAAGTTTCTACTTTATATTGAAAGATGAGGAACAAAAGCCATTTCCAAGAGGAATGTAACATTCTAAAATTTATTTTTATTTAAAATCATATGTCGTTTATTATAATATTATATGATATTTTCCGACCAAAAAAAGGATAATATGTTAATAACCACAAATTTTTTTTTAGCATTCTTTCGGTATCATTGCACGAATCCAACAAACCCAAAGCCATCGGACCGAACAAGTATCATGGCTGCGCGCTTGTTGTCGACGACCCTTTTCCGGCCACCGACCCATCTCCCCAAATCGACGGCCGAGCAATCTCCGGCGTTCCTGGCGAGGCGCCGGCGGTTGAAGTACAGAGCGCAGAGTGATGGCTCTCAGGGTTCTTCGGTTGATGGAACCGTTTATCAAGGCGTTTATGGTCCATGGACCATTGAGCCCTCCGACGTTAGAGAGGTAAAATCACTCGCTTCTTCTCCTTCACCGATTCAATTCGGTTCCATGTTTAGGGTTTTGTCTAAGAATTTCTGTCGGTTGCTTCATTTTGATCCTCGAAAGTTTCGATCTTTCCCCCTTTTTCCCGCTTGGCTGTCCCTTAGGTGAATCGGGCAGTTCTTGATTGTCCCCAGTTGAGTTGAAAAGTTTGATGGGTTTAACCCAATTTGTTCATCTAGAAATGGGTCGTTGTTGGATTGATGGATTGATTAGAGAATTTCTTGGTTTAACAGCTGAATCCTGAATGGTAAAAGATTTGCAATTTCTCATGGGTTTCTTTCAGGTGATTCTGTACAGATCAGGACTGGTGACTGCTGCTGCATCGTTTGTAGCTGCTTCTTCATCTGCCTTTCTACCTGAAAACTCTTCCTTGAGTGAAGTGATCAAGCAAAATCATGACTTTCTTTGCCTGGCTGGAGCCAGTGGGTTGGGTCTGTCATTGTTTCTGATTCATATATACGTGACCGAGATCAAGAGGACTCTTCAGGCATTTTGGGCACTCGGGTTTATCGGTTCTTTCGCAACGTACACAATGCTTGCAAGACCAGCTGGTTATAGCTTGGTACAGTATGTCGTTGATAACCCGACGGCCGTTTGGTTTGTCGGTCCCCTTTTCGCCGCCCTTACAGGGCTCGTCTTCAAAGAAGGTAGAATCAAACGCCGGAAACAATGTGATTTTCGTGTAGTGCTGTGTATTAGAATACGTGGTTTGGTTTATCTTTGGTATTTTCCGGTTTAGTTCGGAAGAAAATTATCGGTTTGGTTTAGTGTAAGTTTGTTGATATGTTGCTTTGTTTCTTAGATGTACTTGAACTCAGAAATTCATTCTTCCTCAATGACATCAGATAAATTTGCTCAATTCTGTTTGTGAATTCTCTGTACAATTCAAAACTAAGCTCAGATGTTTTAGTGTAATGATCTTTCCTTGGATTGCGGTTTTTTCTTGCGCAGGCCTCTGCTACGGGAAACTTGAAGCCGGTATTCTTACATTCATCATACCTGCAGTTCTTCTCGGCCATCTGGTAAGCTAGGGTTTTTTTTTTCAGTCTAAAGATCTTGTTTTTAACATATCGGTGAATAACCCATATCATATAATCCAGTTTCTCGGATTTTTTCCCGAGAAGAGGAGAGTAAAAAACGTCTTCACGGGGGCTTACTGAAACTTGCAGACGGGTTTAATGGACGACGGGGTAAAGCTCGGCTTGCTAGGAACCTGGATGGCTCTCTTTGTGGTGTTTTCCGGGCGAAAATTCACGCAGCCCGTTAAGGTAATGTATCGGAACTCGGTTCTAGAGACCTTAGCTTTGTATAAACTGCGTGACATTCGTTTTTTTTTCTTCTTTTGGAAGGATGATATCGGAGACAAGTCTGTTTTCACGTTCAATTCCCTTTCCGAGGATGAGAAAAACGCCGTGGTGAAAAAGCTTGAGCAGGAGAAGTACAGCTAAGAGTTTGAATCCTGAAAGAGACTGCACCGAGGAGGAGAATGATGCGGCGTTCACTCGGGCGAGCTTCTCGGGCGTTTTCAAGAATGGAATCGGGATATCGACCACGAAGAAGGTCTCGGGGTTTCGAAAGAATCTCCGAGCTCGTATATGATTAGAGGTGGATTAGTTCATTGCTTAATGTATTAGAGATTCATGTAAAGATATGTGATGTATAGTGTATGGTGAAGCTAAGTAGTTTTTTGATGAAACCAATCCATATTTAGGGTTTGTAGGGGTAATTTTTACCCATATTTAGGGTTTGTAGGGGTAATTTTTACACAAAAAAATACTTATATTCTATATGCTAATTTTCAAATGTGTATTGTAAAATAATACTAGCGGTGGCGAAAATTGGGTAGAATTGACAATTTTGAAATGAATAGGTCATTTGTTAAGGTAAGATAAAAGTAAGGGTCTCTTTTGCAATTATTTTTCTTTTATTAAAAAAAAATCGATTTTCAAGTATCGATCCGATAATTTCGGACATTCGTCTATTAACGCAATGAATTTGCGTTAATAATTCAATCTTTAACTTTAGATTATTTTTTTGATGAAGTTGACTGTTGAGTGTTGGAAGATGAGAATATTATTTAGGGTTAGGACATTTCGGTATGGTTTTTTAAAATTTAACGGTATCGAATCAAAAATTTAATATCATTTATGATCTAAATTGTTTAAAATTTTTGAACCATATTTTTTTTAGATAATCAAAATTTTAAAATTGAATCGAATCAAATTAAAAAAATATAATTTATTTTTAATAAAAACTAAAACCGAATCAAACTATATAATAATTCGATTAATATATATTTTTACAACAAAAACGAACCCAAATCAAATACGGAAAAGTCCACGACATCTACCTTTAACAAAGTTTTTACTAAATCTAAAAATTAAAAATAAAAAATAAAAAAGAAGGCCGTACCAAATTTCCACGTGGTGATTACAAAAGTACAATAGTAAATCTTAACGAGAACATGAAATGACATATTTACCCTCACTTCAGGAGACATCTACACGAAACTGGAATTTTGTCCAAATCTGTACCAACCCGAGGTTTTTGTCTTCCACAGAAAAACAGATGTCCAAAACGGTAATTTACTTCTTCCACCAACTCTTCTCCTCCCTCCACCAACGCCTCTCTTTTAGTTTGCATCACACGTTGCAATGACATAATTGCCCTTGCTGACGCGACACTCTCCATCGCATCCTGGGATTGCTGACGTGTACGGTCCAGATTTATTCTTATAATACCTTTCCTAGATTCTCATGGTCTCCTCCTTATATATCATATTTATAATCTCTCGTTCCTGCCTTCATCTCTCTGTTCTTCGTCTCTCGAATTCCTCTCTGTTTAAGCTAAAGGAAAAAATAATAATAATTTCGAAATCTGGAAAGGAAACGAATAAAACTTGAAAATTCGCCTCCGGGATTGCTAGATCTCGGATCGGGAATTTGAATTTTTTGAAAATTCCTTCGCATGGATTGTGATAATTCTATAGAACCCTAATTCGTTTTGGTTTCTGATCGATTTGTTTACGGAACCCTCGATCCGTAACAAGTGTCGCATTTTTTTGCTGGGTTTTCTTCGGATTGCATGTTTGTTGCTGGATCCGGCTGTTCTAGAACCCTAATTGGAATGGGCAAGGATGATGAGAGCGTGGTAATGGCGGATGTAGAGGAAGGCGAAATCTCCGATGCAGCGTCGGTGGAGGAAATCTCCGAAGACGATTTCGTCAGGCAGCAGGGGAGGACTTCGTCATCTCCGGCGGCGATTGCGGCTGCCGGCGGAGGAGGAAACAACATCGGAGCAAGAGGAAGTAATGGCAGTAACCCTAGGGTTTGGACGATGCGTGATCTGCTTACCAAGTACCCAGGTTATCGTGGGTACGCAGCTTCTGGTCTGTACAACTTTGCTTGGGCTCAAGCTGTGCAGAACAAATCCCTCAACGAAGCAATGGGAATGGAAATCGGATCTGAAAACGAGAAAGGATCGTCACAGAGCAGGATCAAAGAGGGTGATAAGATTGCGATTGATGACAGTGAGGATAATGAGAGAGAGGAAGGTGAATTGGAGGAAGGTGAAATCGATTTGGATTCTGTCCCAATTGATGATAAGCTGGGTGTTGTAGGGATTCAGACCAAACCAGTATCAGGAGCCGTTGCTAATGTTGTTCAGACAGACACGAAGGAGAAAGATTTAGAGAACAGAGTGAAACTGATTCGTGCTGTTTTGGAAAGTACGTCTCTGGTAGAAGCGCATGCGTAAGTCTTGGCAATAACATCTTGATGAAATTGAACCATTGGTTGGTGGGTTATGGAGTTTGATCCTTTGTCCTTTTTCTTACAGAGCATTTGGAGGAGTTTGTTCCAAACTTTTGGGAGCTTTGGAGTCTCTGCAGGAACTGGTTTCAGAAAACGATGATTTCCCAAAGAGGGATACTCTAATTCAACTGTCGTTTGCTGCACTTGAAACTGTAAACTCTGTATGGTTAACTCAGCATCTCTCTGGTCCGATTATTGTATCTAATGCTCCAATTCCTTCCACATTGATGATGTCTGAATCTAATCCTTTGTCGTTTTCAGGTGTTCTGCTCCATGAACATTATCTCCAAGGAGCTGAACAAAGAGACTATGTCAAGGTTTGTGATGTGTTGCTCTTCCACTACACTTGGTCTTGCACGCCTGAATGTTTTGGCCATTCATATCGGTTTTTTCCTCTCCTGTCCAGGTTGCTTTCGATTGTGAAGAGCCATTTTTCTCGGTATCTCTCGTCTAACCAAATCAAAGAGGTGGGTTCCTCTGGTTTGAATGCCGATGGCCAGAAAGATGAAAACTTTCCTCTGCACTTCAAAGCTCGAGAAGAAAGAGTGGTAGTTTTTTGATGAAACCAATCCATATTTAGGGTTTGTAGGGGTAATTTTTACCCATATTTAGGGTTTGTAGGGGTAATTTTTACACAAAAAAATACTTATATTCTATATGCTAATTTTCAAATGTGTATTGTAAAATAATACTAGCGGTGGCGAAAATTGGGTAGAATTGACAATTTTGAAATGAATAGGTCATTTGTTAAGGTCAGTCTATAAGCTTCTCCCCCGGTGCTCTTTGTGCTGGAACTGGCAATAAGGAGGAAGAAGGGATGGCCATTGATGGAATTACTCAAAAAGATAATGGTGTTATTGCATCAAGTTTCGGCAGTGTGGTTCCTTCTGGTGTTAGTGATTCTGCTAACGCCAATAACGTTTGGTCGGAAGCTTCAAAACGAGGAACCTCTTATTTAAGAAGTAGAATGCCTTTGCTTCCTCTGCTAGACCTTCATAAGGAGCATGATATAGACAGCCTTCCCTCACCGACAAGGGAATCAACACCGTGTTTACCCGTTGTGGTCAAAGTAGGTATTCATGTCGGTAAAGAAGGGCAAGCCTTTGGTGATGCTAAAGTACACCCGTATGAGAGTGAGGCCATCAAAGCAGTTTCTAGCTATCAGCACAAGTTTGGCCGTAACCCGTTATTCCGGACCGATGATCTTCCAAGTCCGACACCATCAGAAGACTCCAGTAATGGCAATGGCGATATCGGTGGAGAGGTTTCTAGCTCTTTTGTCACGAGTTCAAAGCCTGGAAGACCCGTGATTTCTGGGAACAATGTTCCTCTGCCATCTAATTCCAATGCTAGAAACCTGCCCGGGACAAAAATTACATCTGATCTGACTGTGAGACCTTCTGCAAAGAGCCGAGACCCGAGACTTCGGTTTGCAAGACCTGATGGTGCTGCTGCTTTACCGACTAATCAGAATTCTTCGAACGATGTTGGGAATGTGTATAAAGTGGAACCTTCTGGAAGTTTCATCAGCTCAAGAAAAGTGAAAGCTGCTGATGAGCCTCTCGTCGATGGTCCTGCTTGGAAAAAGCAAAAGAACGGATTGGAAAATCATGAAAATGTTACGGATGTGCCATCCGACCCGAAAGCAAAATCCAACGCCATGACAATGGAAAACAGAGCAACGATTATGACAAGAAATTTCATGCCCTGCAATGGTGTTTCCAGCTCCTTACCATCTCTTTTGAAGGAAATTGCCGATAATCCTGCAGCGTTATTGAAGCTCCTTAAGATGGGAGAAAGGCAGAGATTAATCGATAGTCCGCCCAAGAAGCCAACGGATCCGAGAAGAGCAGCTCAACTTCCCGGTTCTTCGGTACAACCAGTTAGTGTACCCTTAGCTAATCTGTCAAAGCCCGGAGGAGTGAATCAAGATTCATCTCAAGCCATCCCCTTAGTGAGTAGTATCCTTGTGCTGAAAATTACTATGGCTTGCTTGTAGATTTGCAGATTTTAAAACATTTTTCGTTGAACCGATCACTGGCAAGTAACTGATATTACGTGTGTTTCAGAATGAATCGGGGAAAATACGCATGAAACCACGAGATCCTCGACGTATTCTGCATGGAGATACTCTTCAAACGACCGGGAATTTACTGGAAAAGCACCTCAAAGCAAGTGAAAACCCTACTTCTGGAACAAAGCCTGCAATCACCCAGCTTGATCAGCAGCAACATTTCAGTGATCTTGTCAATGGCAAAGTGCCAGATATTTCAACCCAATTCACCAAAAACCCGAAAAATATTTCCGACATGGCTGCAGTCTCACAAGCTAGCAGTCCTCCAGCCACTCCCCAGATTCCTCCTGCACAGTTTAAGACAGACAAAGATACGAATGTGAAACAGACAGACAAAGATACGAATGTGAAACAGACTTCAGTTTCAGCTTCGGTAATGGCTGCAACCGGTCCTGTCCGTTCGGTGAACAGTTGGGGAGATGTTGAACACCTTTTTGAAGGATACGATGACAAGCAAAAGGCTGCTATCCAAAGAGAGAGGGCGAGGAGGTTAGAGGAACAAAAGAAAATGTTCTCTTCTCGCAAGCTCTGTCTCGTCTTGGATTTAGATCACACCCTTCTTAATTCCGCTAAGGTATTGACTTCCGCCCTCTTTCATGTTTCACCGTTCTTGTTTCGCCTAACCCTTGTCTTAAGATTTGCTAAATTACCGTTTTTTCAATCACTTTCAGTTCAATGAAGTTGACCCGATCCATGATGAGATACTGCGAAAGAAGGAAGAGCAAGATCGAGGAAAACCATATCGACATCTCTTTCGGTTCCCTCACATGGGAATGTGGACTAAATTACGACCCGGGGTTTGGAATTTCTTGGAGAAGGTGATGTATCCTTTCATTTTTGTTTCTAGTTTTGATGGTTTTCGATCCACTGTTTTAACGTTGGCTGCGATGTTTCAGGCAAGCAAGCTGTATGAGTTGCACTTATCGACAATGGGTAACAAATTATATGCTACCAAGATGGCGAAAGTGCTCGATCCAAAAGGGGTTCTGTTTAACGGTCGAGTTATCTCGAGAGGCGACGATGGAGAGCCTTTTGATGGGGACGAGAGGGTTCCGAAGAGTAAGGATCTCGAGGGAGTTTTGGGTATGGAATCGGCTGTAGTGATCATAGATGACTCTGTCAAGGTTTGGCCTCACAACAAAATGAATCTAATAGCTGTAGAAAGGTACGATCGTTTTAACTGTTCTTGTTTTTGTAATTCCCGGGTCTCGATGTTAATCTTTGCATTATCTTGTTTCAGATATACATATTTTCCATGTAGTAGACGGCAATTTGGGCTTCCGGGTCCTTCTCTTCTCGAGATCGATCACGACGAGAGACCAGAGGATGGCACATTGGCATCTTCGTTAGCGGTCCGACTCTGTTATTATCTTCAGAGTTTGTTAAGATTTTTGGCTCGTTTTCCTTCCGATTTTCATCGAACATTTGCATGGATTTGTAAATATGCAGGTTATAGAGAGAATACATCAAAATTTCTTCTCTCACGCTTCGTTAGATGAAGCAGACGTGAGAAATATTTTAGCTTCGGAGCAACGGAAGATCTTGTCGGGTTGTCGGATAGTATTCAGTCGGGTATTCCCGGTTGGAGAAGCGAGCCCGCATCTGCATCCCTTGTGGCAGACAGCCGAGCAGTTTGGCGCTGTCTGCACGACACAAATAGATGACAATGTAACTCATGTCGTGGCCAATTCCCTTGGAACCGACAAGGTATAATTCCCAAAAAACCCGACTCTGTTTTCGCCTTTTCGTTCTGATCTTTACAACCGATAAAGAGGAATTGCATTGAACAGGTGAACTGGGCTCTATCAAAAGGAAGATTCGTTGTTCATCCCGGGTGGTAAGACTAAGATCTTCTCGTTCTCGATCCTTTTCTCATTCGCTTATCGATAACTTCCGCTTTCTCGGCATCCATAATCGCTGTCTTCTTCCCCGTTTTGCAAAAATGGGTGCAGGGTCGAAGCATCAGCTTTGCTTTACCGGAGGGCGAATGAGCATGACTTTGCCATCAAACCGTAAATATACCGAGAGAGAAAAAAACGACGACGATGACGAAAACGTAGCCGGGATCATAACGGTTTTCGCCCCGGCCACGGCCATTGAACATAGGAAAATTCTTTAAACCCTAAGCAATGGCAGAAACTAGTGAGAATCACAATGCCTTGGTGGGGATCTAAACCCTAAATCCACCAATTCTTGAAAATGTGGTTCCCCATGGGATCAAACATTGGGTTGGGGGAAATTGGGTTTATAATGGTTCATGTGAGGAGTGAAGGTCCGGAAAGAAGATTGTTCAGACTCACTGTCACTGGCTCCACATTCATTTACCACGACGGGTCGGGTGGGTGGGCGGGCGGGCCATCGTGATCGAGGGCCCTCCCGGGCCGAGGCTCGGGTCGGGTCGGGATTTGTTGAAAAGATTTGGTCAGAGAGTTGTTTCTATTTTGGTTTTTAATGCTCTTTGGTCGGCGACAAGAACATCACCAACTTTGATATGCAGACAGAGGGAGATTCCTTGAATTATGATATCTTTGGTTGGAGAGGGTGGTCCATGAAAAAAAATATTAAAATTCTATAAAAAAAAAAAAATTATCACAATTTATCTAAAATGTGTCATGTAAATAACAATTTTCAAATTGGTAAATAAATATCATAATTTGGGTCAATTTGTATCAAATCAATACAAATTTGGTGGTCTTATTACAGAGACTATCACAGGCTAAAATTGGCAAATTAACTCTTGAGGGCTTTCGGTAAAATGATCTATTATTATTTCACCAAGGAAATTAATTTCTCGTATTTTTTTAACAAGTTTCTATAAAATGAATTTCACCAAATAATCTATAAATATATTTGAATTCAATGATAATGGACCAAATTCATTTATTTATTTGGAATTCTTCCTTTTGTATATAAGTAATTTAATTTAAACACTCTACAACCGAGACATTTGTATGTTTGAAATACCATATTAATTTATTTTCTTAAATTAAAATACATTGTTTATTAAAAAAATACGAAATAAATTTAATTATTTTAGGAAATTGACGTATAGATAATATTTTGTTAGATACATAATTGAATTTCAATTCTAATAATCCAAATATTGGAACGCAGAAGTCGGATATCTTAAATGTTTTTAGAGAGACACCCAATGAATCAACATCTTATTCTTTGTTCTTGACAAATGGTAAGCTATTTAATTTAATTTTTATTATCAATAAATTTTAAAAAAAGGGAGAAAATTCGAAAGATATAATAATTTCAAAAGATTCATTAGAGGCCAAATGTCAAATAAGAATGGACCGCCCCCTCATCTATTTAGCTGTCTCCAGCTTCAAAGTTAGAGACTTTTAATGTCTATAAGATTCAGAAATCACATCCCAACGGCTATAAAAAAATATATATGCCTTTGTATCCATCACTTTGCTCTTTGTCTTTTCTTATGTGGAGCCTTGTTTTCCAATTAGAGAATCCTAATCCTCTCTCTCTCAATTTAACAAAAAAACTATAACCATTCGATTTTATATTAAATTCGTTAAAATTTAATTAAATAATTATTTGTAAAAAATTTGCTATTTTTGAATTTGGATTTGGTTGAATTCGTATTTATTTTTCAATTTAAAATAAAAACATAAGTATACGATATTTTTTATCGAATTCAATTCAATTACGATCATATATTATTTGATTCAAATCGATTTAATTATTCGGTTATCAACTAAATTGAGGGATACTCAAAGCATTACACTTTACCGTTTCTTAACGTCTAATCCATTCACCATTGACAACTTGCATATTCTAATTTTGATAATTTTAACTTTAGAAGTCAACATGAATTCAAATATCTTGAATCCTATTCTAAATCAATAACTTTTTACACATTCCTCTTGAAATCAAAACTATCTTACCTCATTTGTTTATGAACCTTTATATATATATATAAGAAAAGAAAAGCAATTGATGTATAAATACTCTCATGTTCAAACATTTGAATAAATTCCATTTCTCAAAAAAAAAAAAAAAGATAATTGAACTTAGGATGCTTGAATTTCTTGTATTGAGAGTGAATGAGACAAGAGAAAAAAAGGGGGAAGACAAAAGGTACAAAATAGGAAGAAACAGATTGGCCTCTTTGTGGTAGTTGGGAAGTGGGTATGTGATTTTTTTTTATAAAAAAAAAATTTAACAATTCACCACTTTCACTTTTACCCAATTTTTTAATCCAATTTCTTGAAAACATACAAACAAACAAATAAATAAAGACTTGTTTTTTAAATTAATAAAGAATTGTGTTGAAGGAGAGGAGTGCGCATGGCGAAAAGGTTGATTGAATTCCATTCAAAACCTTTTCTTTGACCTAATCATCTACCTCTATCTAACCTTCCAAATTAGCATATATATATATATATATATATATATATATATATATATATATATATATATATTATCTAAGCTGCAAAATATGGACATGGGTCTTATCCCTATCTCATTATCTAATTAGTATTTTTTATAAGAATCTAATTAATACTTTTAATTTTACACATAGAGTTTTAGAATATTTTTTAAAAAAAAAAAACAAGTGATGTTTTAAGAATTCCAATGTACTTTTTCATATATTTTTTCCCAAATTTATCCATTATTAATAATAGTTAAATGTTCTGCATGTTTCAATACAGTAATTTTCTATACATAAAATAAAGATATTTTTTTAAACGTATGGATAATTAATTTTTGTTGCAATTTTTAGTTTTTAACATTGTTGTAATTCCAACATATGTATGTTATCATCAATGCATGAAAGGCTTAATTCATACACTTAAAAATTTTCGTTTTGTTCTTAAATAAAACTTAGCAAAAATAATGGATGTATCTTTTTTTTCTTCCAATATATCAATTTTAAAAAAAAAACTAGCCATGTTACTATATACATTATTTTCAATATTCATATTTCGATATACAAATTTATAGATTCAATTGTACATTCTTTTGATCTAGATTGAACAATAAATAATTCGAATAATTAATTTATACTAGATATGAATCAAATCATGGTTCATATGCACTTCAAATAGGTTATATGGATGCACAACTTTTTTTTAACAAGGAAAAGAAATCATTTAACAAACGTTAATCACATAAGATTTAGGAATTTAAAGTCTTATCTCCATCTAGGTGTTATTTGTGTTATGAAAGGTCCAAACTGTTTTTTTTAAAGAGTTATTACCAAAACTATAATCATTAAAAGAGGATTATTAAAGTGATTAATGTCTCCTAACAATATTTCAATTGTACTAATTGAAGTAGGGAATGCAAGTAATTAGGGCAAAGACAAGACATAAATAAAAACAAAAAACAAACAAACACCTTGAGAACCCAAAGGAGCAAGAAAGTACGAGATAAAAAATAAAAAAAATTAAAATTACACAAAAAAAAAAGCATGGATGTTTGTGTTGCCGTTTGTCATTATGGCAAAAAGGACTTGATTAATGATTATAGAAGATAATGCGATTAACATCTTAATTAATTAATAATTAATAATTAATATAAAAAAAGGGGGGGTTAAGAGACAAGACGTGAAAGGGTGGATATGGGCCACACCGCTTTAGCCACCCCATAAAGGCAAAAGTTGTTTCAGTTTCAGACCAAATGGAGTGTCTCCCCTTCATTTATCAAATCTTAACTAAATATTTGCAATATAAAATAATCAGATACTCTAAAATTTCATATGCAATAGTCATATGAATCCGAATATTCAAAACTAAAAAGACACTAATAATATATAATTCTTTTCAAAAGTAATTATGATCTAAAAACTATCGGATTTAAATTTTTTAAACAGATAGATGGATTTTGAATTGAATATAATATTTTAAAAACCTTTTATAGTGATAAATAATTTTTAATAAAGAAAATGAATCCGAAATTAATTCTGAAATTTCAAATAAAACCAAATAATTATATTTTTATCATATATCTAAATCTAAGAAAAAACATTGTTTTTGCTATTTTATTTTAGTTTAGGAAATTGTTTTTAATTTTAACCATAAAACAAAGGATAGTGACATTGGGGGACCAAATTTTCTTTGATAAGATAAATTTGATAAGAAAAAACATTTTTTTTGCTATTTTATTTTAGTTTAGGAAATTGTTTTTATATTTATAACTTTTCTGTAGAAATGGGCCTCACTTAAAATAAATTTATTATCTTTATTTTGATAAATTTTCTTTAGATTTTGTTATATATATATATAGTTAATCGCGCATAATTTTGATAAATTTTATATTTATATCCATGTGGATCGATCTTTATACACCTTTTAGTTCTGTTATTATTATTTGTGTTGTTGTAAAATTTATGATTTCCATTACACTTTTCATTAGAAATTCATGTGGATAGAAAAAGGAATCTACAAATAAATTGCAAATTCACAAAAAAAAAACGAATAAATCAACCGTTTTATTTATTAAAATTCATGTGATATCATTAAAACCCTAGCGCTCAAAGAAAACCCTAAAAAAAATTCAAAATATTTATATTACATTTGAGATTAACGTAAAAAGATTATTGGTGGAGTAATTTCCGGCAACATTTTCACAAGTGGGAATCATTGTTAAATCGACCACATCATCATCATCATCAACTATTTCATGCTCATATTTATTTGTATTATCCACGTCGTTGAATTCGTGACATAAGCCATGATGTCTCTTTTGACCTTCATGCCTCTCTCTCTCTCTCTCTCTCTCTCTCTCTCTCACACACACACACACACACACCATTTTTTATATACGAAGTATAGAGACCTTTGATCATGTTGACAACTTCCATGGTCCATGATGTAAGACCATTGATTATGCATTCGAAACCTTGATTCTATCTATATTCTAACACACACATACATGTATGTATGTATGCATGCATGCATGCATGTATGTGAACATTTAGATTCATTTAAGTGGTGTATGTCTTGGTAGATTCATTATGTATAAGCAGGCACATACTTGTCTATAAGTAAGTAAGTAAGTAAGTATGTATGTATGTATGTATGTATGTATGTATGTATGTATGTATGTTCAATTAAGTGGTGGATGTTTTGGTAGATTCATTATGAATAACCAGAAACATACTTTTGTATCAATACATGATTTAGAAAAAAAATTTATTCAGGAAATTAATAAATACGAATAAAAAATAAAACGCAAAAAACGCATTAGTTTATTTTATACAATTTTGGAATTTAAATTTCAATAACTACAAAATAGATCCACAAATCTAATTGCCGGCAAAAAGAATATTTTCATAATTATATCAATTTTTATTGGAAAGTTATTTACCTTTTCCCTCACATTATAATGAAAAAAAAAAGAAGAAATTAGAAAAAGCTTCAACAAAAGAAAAATAATAAAAGGCAAAAAAAAACCTTTGCTTTCACTCCAAGCTCTCCCCCGGAAAAGTATCATCCTTTACACATTTTCCAAAAACCCATCTCTATATTTTATACAATTCGCTTTTCAATAATCTTTTCCCACGCAAAAAATTTCAGAAATTGGAAAGGAAAATGACAAAAATGACAAATTGCGAGTGGAATAAATAAAAATATAAATAATAATATGAAAAAGTGTATTGATTTGGTCTTGCGGAGATGGAGACTTTACCGGAGCATACAAATGGTTTGGATATATACATGGCGTTCTTTTCCTTTTTGTCCTTTACGCCTTTCCCAAATTGATCTTTAAAAACCAGGTTAATTTAATAATTAGTATTAATGCCCTATTAGGATTTCAGATCGAGTTCAGTTTGGTTATATTTGAGTTCGATTATTTCGATTATAAAAAACTATAATCATTCGATTTTTATATCAATTTCGGTTCGATTTTATTTCAATTCGAATTCAGTTTTTTATTGGCAAAAGATTCATTTTTTCAAATAAATTTTTGGTTTATTCGATTATTTTTTATTTGTTTTAGCTAAAATTCGATTTTTTATAGATTTAAAAAATTCATAACTATTCGGTTTTTATATCGGTTTCAGTTTGATTATGATTATATTTTATTCAGTTTGGTTTGGTTCGAGTATTCGGTTAAATTTATTTAGCTAAAAAACAAATCATTCAATGTAAAACACAAAATTGAAAGAAATATAATTTGGTTAGGTATATAATTTAACTCTATCAATTTATTTAGCCACCGGTTATAATAAAGTTAATTAAATAGTTATTTACTTATTTATTTATTATAATTTGATACAATGGTCTTTTTATATAATCTAAGATATATACCAAACCCAACCCAAAAATGAAATTGAAATGAAAACTTTTTAATGGAAACTTATCATAGTATAGATATAAAGTAACAAATAGAGTTTTTTTTTCTTAGTGAGAATTTACCTAAATATTTTGATTGTTATAAATATTTTATTTTAGAACGCTCTGTGGATATTTTTTTTTTATGTATAATTGAACGTTAAATAACCAATTTTCATGGCATGTACAAAACATGTCATTATAATTCACAAACTTTTAAAATATATTATTATTATAATTTCTAAACTGATTTATTGATCAACATCTCGAAATTTCTTTTGGTACCAATTCACAAATTTAAAAATTATAATGATATATTTTATAAGTTTGTGAATTATAATAACATATTTTATAAATTTAAGAACAATTTGTTAAATGAAAAGTTTAAAAATTTGTTTTCTACTATTTTGTAAATTTAGAAATTTTTATAGTTTTATCCTTTTTTTTAGAGAGAGAAAAGATTTAATTCTCGTGGAGATGTTTTAGATTATGTAAGAAAGAGGAAAAGGAAGGCTGATTTATTTTCTTATGGAAATTATAAACAAAAGTTTTTTTTAATTATAAAATCCACTCGAGTATATGTGTGTTGATATCATCATTTTCTCTCTTTTCATTTTCTCAATAAATCTAATCCTATTTATTAGAAATTAGAATCTCCACTTTAAACATTTTCGTACATTATGCTTTTGTGCTTCTCTAGTGCTATATTTAGGTATCTATATTTGGATTTTACTAATGTTTTCTTTCGGTTATTTGTTATTTGATTTTAAAAAATAATTTTGACTTTTGATCATCTTTGAATTTTTAATTCGATTTAAAAAAAATAATATCTAATTCGAGTAAGATACCAATATATAAAATTGGGTTTGTTCCACAAATGAAAATCTAGCAACATTTTCATCCACATGAGTAATTAATTAGTAATAAAAATATATATCATTTTAAAAAACGTGTCAATTTGCGAGTGAACTCGACGAACCGCGAGTTGACTCATTAGACTCGTTTCCAGATGAAACTCGAAAATATTGACTCCGATATATAAAATATGAATCGATAAGGAACCAATTAGAAATTATATCATTTACAAATAAATAAGCACATAAAAAAAGTTAGTTGGGTCAAAATTCAGCTTGAGTATATAAAACTAAGGCATAAACAGTTTACATATTTATAAAATTCTAGGTTTTTTTTTAAATTTACTTTATAAAGCACGAATTGTAAGAAGAAAGGATGGGGAAAACACAAAAGAAGATGGGGAACAAGAGAGACCGTGGAGTTGTACTTGAAGCATTGGAGGGAGAAAAAAAAGTAATTAAATAAATAAAATAAAATAAAAAACAATTTTTTTTAATTAAAATAAAATAAAAAAAACAAAAAAATTAATTTAAAAAATAAAATGGAAATAAAATCGGACAGAGGCATAATTGCATGCAGTGGCCTCTGCAAATGCCATTGTAAAAAGCTCCTTTACACGCACATCATCATACCACTCCTGTCTCTGCTCCTTCTGAACTATTTCCACTCTTGTCTTTTTTTGGCTAATTTTCACGATTTAATAATTATATTATTTTTTTATTAAAAAATAATTATATAATTATTATAGTTATTATAATTATATTACTATTATTACCATATTTTTATGTCTTTCCTGTGCCATTTGACAGAAGGGTGGTTCCTGTCTTCTTCCATCTTATCCATTTATTCGTATTTAGTAAGAAACTTTTGAAAATAATTGCTTTGCAAAAATAAATAAAAGTATATTTTAGAATAAAACATTCTGTGATAAGATATAGTGAAAGTGTAATAACACATATAATAAATACCATATCGTTTTCATCTCAGTGGTTTACTAACAAAATCTATAAAGCTCTCATATATATATATATATTCTAAAAAAACCTTCGAAAGATAAAAATTGAATATTCCGGCATCCGAAAAAACCCTGAAAATTTATTCATAATAAAAATCGGAATCAAAATACATATTTTTTTGGAATAGAAAATAATTGAACCAAATATTATATCAAAATCGAATACTGAAAACGTTATATATATAGAATGTAATCTCATGATAAAATAAATATATTTATAAAAAATCAAAATACATAAATTTATACAATCCATTGTATTCATTGAATATATGCATTTTTTTTTAAAATGCGTGTCATATTTTTAAAAATAAATAATAAAATTGAAGGTGAAAAAAGAGAGAAATAAATCTGACTTATGGGGTATATATAACAAGTGAGTGAAGGCCAGCTCCATCTGGTGGCCACTAAGGACATCCAAACATCACACAACCTGGTCTGACTCTGTCCTCTTTCTCAATTTTTTATTTTTATTTTTATTGCAGTATATTTATAATAATAACATAGGTTAAAATCCATAAAAAAAAAATTTAAACTTACAAAATATATCATTATAATTCACAAGCTAATTTATGAATCAACATGGTTCGATTAACAAATTTAAGAATTGTAATGATACATTTTACTATAAGTTTAACAATTACAATGACATATTTTGTAAGTTTAGAAATAAATTTATTAACCGAAAAATTTAGAAATTTATTTTCCACCATTTTATAAATTTTAAAAAATTTATGGATTTTACCCTAATAATATACCACAAATTAATTAATTAATTTATAATAATCTTTTAAAAACCCTTTATTTATTTGTATCAATTCAATATACAAAATTTTAATTCTCTACAGTAATATTTTAATTATATTAATTTTTTTTTATAAAAGTTAATTAATTATATTAAATTTTAAAGCAAATTTCGAATTTCTTAAATTTTAATTAATTTACATATGAATTAATTAAACCTTTTTTGTAAGTTGCATACATTAAGCGTCCTCGGTCCATTTGTACCATTAAAAAAGTATTTGATGATATTATTACAATTTGGACCCTTGACTTTAAAATACAATCACCAATTAGAAAGAAAAAAAACGCCAAAATTTTCTTGAGCTTATCATTTCTTTGGTGTAAAAAAAATAGAAATATAAATGCCTTTTGTAAATGTATATATTAATATTTTTTGCAATTTTTCATTGCCAGTGTTGTAAAGATCAAGTGAAGAAAAGAACACCGCAGTAAAAATCTAAAGTTACTGTATACAAATACTGATATATCATTTCTTGATCTGAGTATGAATACATAAATTTAAAAAAAAATGAAAAAGTATATAGAAATAATTTTAAAATAGAGCAAAATAAAAAGTTTTTTTTTTTGGTATAAATGCATCCCATTGGGAAAACCAAACCAACCAACCCCATAGTACTTTTGCTTCTCTTCTTCTCTTTTGCCTTCTTCTACACTCTCGTTACACCACAACCATGAAGCTTCGCCTGCAATGGCGGACAATGGCGTTTACCCTAATCATCTCTCTCGCCCTGAGTTCCTTTGGACGAGTGAGCTCCAGTGTTCTCTCCCGAGTTGACCGAGTCGCTCAGTTACCTGGTCAACCCCGAGTCGGGTTTCAGCAGTACTCGGGTTATGTCACTGTCGATGACAAGAAACAGAGGGCTCTGTTTTATTACTTCGCCGAAGCAGAAGCCGATCCTGCTTCTAAGCCCCTCGTTCTCTGGCTCAACGGAGGTTTGATTGATCAAAATCTCTTCTTTTTTTGTCCCTCAAGTCAAAATCACATGTATTTCCCCCAAGATTCTCAGAAATTTTGTGGTGGGCAGTCGAAATTTTCCAACTTTTTTGCGAATAGTGAGAAGTTTTGGGGAAATGGGTTGAATGCAGGACCTGGGTGTTCTTCCCTGGGTGTTGGCGCATTCTCTGAGAATGGACCCTTTAGACCAAAAGGACCAATCTTGGTCAAGAACGAGCATAGCTGGAACAAAGGTAGCTTCTTTCCATTGATTTTGATACATATGGCATTGAATTTTTCAACTTTGATTCATGGGTTTGTGCAATTTAATCAAACATAAAATTGGGTTTTTGTCTGCAGAGGCTAACATGTTGTATTTGGAGACACCTGTTGGCGTTGGGTTCTCTTATTCAACTGATAGTTCATCTTATGAGGGTGTGAACGACAAGATCACTGGTATTTTTCCTTCTCATTCTAAGTTGTTTCTTCTTCTCCCTCTGCATCTGTAAATAAAAATCCAGACTTTTTTTTTGAATTCTTGCTTAGACTTGGAAAGAAATGATGAATCCACTTAGTACCCTACCTCTAATATGTAAATCACCAGCAAAAACAAAGGGTAAAAGACCTGTCTTTTGCACAAAAATGTTGCTGAAAAATCATTAGCATTTGTGGTGAAGAAAAATTCTCAAGGTTTCCACAAATTCAAGGACTAGTTTTTAGTTGTTGAGGTAAATTTAGACTTTGGGATTTTGTTTTGGTGTTGAATCTCCTTTCCATTTCCCCAGTTTTTGGGTATTTTCCTCTTTGTTTTATCTGATTTTTTCCTTTTTTTTCCCTTAAAGTTTCTTCTCCTTCCTCTTAGTTTTTTTTTTGGTTCTTTTGAGGTGAGAAGAACATCTCATGATGATGGTGCAAGAGATTTCTCTTTGTTGTGTTCTGAAGTTTATAAAGGAAAAAAAAAAGAGTTTTTGTTATGTCTGAGCTGACAAAAAGAAACTCCACCTTTTGGCAGATCACATCTTTGAGGATATTCCTCTGTTTTTGTTTTTTCTCCTCTCTTTTGTGTTTGGTCTCACATCTTCTAACACATTCCTCCCTTTTGTCTTGTCTTTTGCCTCAGCAAGAGACAACCTTGTGTTCTTGCAAAGGTGGTTCCTCAAATTCCCTCAGTATCTCAACAGAAGCCTCTTCATCACTGGTGAAAGCTATGCCGGTAATTTCGCATTTTCTCCATTCATCGAATCATCATCATCATCGTCATCATAATAGCTGACATTTTGTATGAAACTTAGGCCATTATGTTCCTCAGTTGGCTCAGTTGATGATCCAGTATAACAAGAAGCACAAGTTGTTCAACCTCAGAGGCATTGCAGTGAGTTCGTTCATTCATTCATTCTCTCTCTCCCCAAGTAATCGTTATGCAATTGTTTTCTCTGTTTCGTGATCTGATTTCGTTTCTTGGGTTGAATCCGGTCCTGTAGCTTGGCAATCCGGTTCTTGAGTTTGCGACTGATTTCAACTCGAGGGCTGAATTCTTCTGGTCTCACGGGTTGATATCGGATTCAACGTACAAAATGTTCACATCTTACTGTAATTACTCACGCTATGTGAGCGAATACTACAGAGGGACAGTGTCTGCAATGTGTTCAAAGGTGATGAGCCAAGTGAGCGTCGAGACAAGTAGATTCGTGGACAAATACGATGTCACTCTCGATGTCTGCATACCCTCCGTGTTATCACAGTCCAAAGTAGTGAGCCCTCAAGTGAGTTAGGACAAGAAAAGATCCGATCTTCTCAGCTTTATTTTTCGTCTTTTTATGTTTTCGGTATCTGTCTGATGGGTGCTTCTTATGGAACAAAGCAGCAAGTCGGGGAGACAGTTGATGTTTGTGTTGAAGATGAAACTGTCAGTTATCTGAACAGGAGAGATGTCCAAAGATCTCTCCATGCCCGGCTGGTTGGAGTTCGGAAATGGGCAGTTTGCAGCAAGTAAAATCACTCTCCCCTTCTCTGTCACCATTGTTAAAGCTCCAAGTCTTGGAGAGTTTTCTAAGTGTTTTTTTCCTGCCTGTTGTGACAGTGTCCTCGATTACGAATTGCTTGATGTTGAAATACCGACGATTACCGTCGTTGGGAATCTTGTTAAGGCCGGGATCCCGGTTCTTGTTTACAGGTAAAGCCATGTCTTTTAAGACTTGTTGAAGGTTTTCTCCATTGATATGGCTTACCGAAACCTTGATTTGATTCATAGTGGAGATCAAGATTCTGTAATCCCGCTAACCGGAAGCAGAACGTTGGTTAACCGTTTGGCTGAAGAGCTCAGACTAAGAACCACGGTTCCTTATCGGGTTTGGTTTGCCGGGCAACAGGTTTAACTCAACATCACTCTCTATATAAGCTCAGAGTGACTAGTAAAGAGGAGAAACAGAACTAACGAAAAAACGGGGTTTTTTTTTTCAGGTCGGAGGGTGGACTCAGGTTTACGGGAATATCCTGTCGTTTGCAACGGTGAGAGGAGCATCTCACGAGGTCCCGTTCTCGCAGCCTCAGCGATCGCTTGTGCTGTTCAAGGCGTTTATAAATGGCCATCCCCTTCCAGAAGCATTCTGATGTTGTACCATTGTGTGAGAGTTTGTAAGTAAAAACAAAACAAAAGATTAGATTTTGGCAAAAGGGTTTTGCTTGCTTTCGGACCAGAACTATCTGGATTGTTGTCTGTTCCACAGTGAAAGAAAATTTTTGTAAAGTATCTGAACTGTGTAGGAAGAAACCTTGTATTGTTCTCAAAATTTCAAAGTTTTCAGCATTTGGGTTACATCGCAACGAGGGAAAAAGGACGATAAACTTGTCGGAATAGGAACAAAAAAGATATGGAAAACTATGGATTCGAAAGCCGGTCACGAGGTTTTAGAAGGGGAAAGTACAATGGGAGCCTCAACCTGCATTTCCAAGCATTTGAACTGAAGAGCTATGATGGGTTTGGACAGCATCACTGAGACACTAAGATCGAGTTCGCTTTCAGAGGAATCTTGTGTTTGGTTATGGTGTCCTTTTAACTTCTCCGCTTCATCTTCCATAGGCATTGATACTATTGCAGGCTTCACCGGTCTCACCCTGTATCATAACATTACCCCTTTTACTGAGTAAAAACTCCAATATATGCGACGAAAGCATGAACACCTTTCACGTCTAACGGTCGTTATGAGAGGACCTGAGACACGGGTTTTCAAGCAACTTAATGGAAAAATTCTCGAAGACAAAACCGGGGCAACAAAGGAGAGAAGCAAAACCTGCATTCGATATGGCAAGAATACTTGAGCAGGTTGGGGTTGTAATTGGTGTTGCCACTGCCATTGTTGATACAGATGACGGAGTTAGGAAGTTTCTAACGACACGAAGAACACAAAAGAGATAACTTCACCTAAAACTCGGGAGAGACATTTTGATCGACGGTCCCATCCAGTTGCCGAGTTTTGATGTGGATGCTGCGGAAATTATCAAAGACGTGATCGGACATTGAACATAACAGATGGATTCAAAAGAAATGGCTACTGAGCATACAATCAAACTCACCGGTGGATTGAACTCGGATATTGCAGATATCGGCTAAAGCAGAACCATCCACTTCGGTAACCTTAACATCCGTGACATTGTACGGGTCGGAAAATTTAGTTCCTATCCTTAAAATGTCCGAGAAACCACTGGATTTGCCCGATTGCTGCTTTGGAACCGCTGTGATTCTCTGTTTCAATCACCAAAAACCACAATCTTATCTGTGTTGCAACGCTTCTAGTTCGATGAACCAAGAACATCTATATCCTAAAGTGATTCTACGTTTCTTACACCATGAAAGACAACATCAAGCTGTCTTCTGAATAATCTTGTCTCCGTAGCAAGAACCATACTGGTTTTTATCATAATCACTAAAGATCGAAGCAAATCATTCGAGAGATTCACAAGATTCCTTACAGACCGACCGAAATCCACCCAAAAGCAAACTCACCTTTGAAAATCTTGCAACGTGGCTTGGTAGTCCCACATCCTGCAAGAACACCATGTTAGAGAATACAACGAGTTCACATTATAATACAACGCTATACATTATACACACACACACACAATACAGCACGGAAATGTGCATCGGTTTTAAATCCACCGACCTTTCGGCCGTGATCACAAGCCTCGTGGCTGTTCACAAGCACCCTTGCAGCCCATCTGTTTCCATGAAAAGGAGCAAAGGACAAAAGAGAAGATATATTATACTTAATTCTTAGTTAGGAAAAGATCACTTCTTTCACTAATCAAGATTTGATGCATGAACCTAACAAATAGGATATTAACCAACTTGGCAACTTGCTGTACCCGAAAAGACACGACGGTACATGCACACCCACCTTGTTCAATCCAACCACTAGGCCACCCCACTTGTGTTAACTTATCTATGTTGTCCTAACCAGAATTACCAACAAGCAAGAGAACGAGAAGAAGAAGAGGAAGAAGAAGGAATGTACGCGCAAGAAGTTGGGGGATTCCATACGATCCCTGCAATGACAACAAGCTGGGAAAACACGAAAAGGGGCCATGAGATTAAGTCAGTCACTTTCAATGGAGTTTCCTTTTGTTCATATTTAAGTGTTTAGGAACGGCATAAAAGCTGAGAGACAAGACCTCATCAAAGACACCAGCAGGACTGTCCTCGTAACTTGCAAGAAAAAACCCACCAAGAGTGTATCTGAAAATCCATAAAAGACGATAACGAGGAAGAGTATACGACGAAAGAACAAGCGATAAACAGAGAGACAAACCAAGAAAGAAGGGCTTCACCCAAAGGCTTCGACTAGTCGGAAATCTTTCGGGATGAATGCTCGAGCTGTCTCTGCCTTCACGAGATGAATCTGGTACAAAGCACTGAAGCAAAACGAGGACAAGCTCAGTCGAAAATGAAATCACCTAACAGCAAATGCAGTATAGATCGGAACACACACACACAGATGAAGAAGCTGTAATGGATAACTTGCCTTCCCTTAAATATCCATGGAGATTTACCATAGCCTGATGATGATCGTCTCTTTTCTCCAATCTCCATGGTAGCTCGAAGAAGATACCTTAGGAGACAAGTTATGCTGATGCCTGAAAGAGAATGGAGCTGCATATAATAAACCTAGCTAGCTACCTATTAGGAAAACGTGTTTTCACAGAAGTCCAACATTTCAAACGAGAACTGAATTAGATGAAGACTTTACAAGATTAAAAATCAACGAAATGGTAAAAGGGGACGGCAATATAACCACCGTTACATTAAAAAAATGGAGTTTTCCGACAGCCAAGACGGGATCCAGAACAAAAGGCGGCAGACAATCATAAGCAAGTTGGGAATTTTTAACTGCAAATTATAGTCTTATTCTATATCCTTCAGCAATATTCTATTGCCGGAACAACGCATGAGGAATGTGATTAAAGAAAGGGAGAAACATTAAGGCTGAGTACGAGAAATGAGCTCCGACAACTGAAATGCAAAGGATTCGAAGTACACTGAACAATCTTGAAACGAAATCTCATCCAAGAATCTTATCAAGACCGAACCAGAAACCGTGGATTTGTCTTACCTTATCTCGTGAAACCAAATCCCTGTCCAAATTCAACCTATTTACGCAAGTGGGTTTCTAAAGATTCAATCTTTATAGCGGATAAAGTTGAGAAACAGCGGGAAACCAGTGGCAGCAAAAGCCAAACAGAGTCACCCAAGAAATACCAGGAACTGTTGCATTCAAAGTCTCCGAGAGAAAATAATAAAAATCAAGTAAAAACAGAAGATGCCCACAACGACAATCATGCAACGAAACAGTATGAGCAAGTGACCAAGTAGAGCTACATTGCCAATTTTTGTCCTAAAAGCCAATCGAAACAGCAGAGAATAGGGCAAAAACAAAAACCTAAACCTCGAACACACCTCCGAAGAAGACAAAACTCTTGCGGATACTAAAGGGAAATAACACAGAAATGGAGCTTTTGCGAGACGAGATGAGAAGAGAAGATGTACATATATACACACACACATACACGGTGATATAGCTGCAGGTGTATAAGTGAGGAGGGTATTTTAGATGAGAAGAAGGGTTTTTTTTTTGCCCTTTTAATTTAGAAGGGAAGGAAAAAAAAAAGATGGGGTTGTTATTTTATTATTTTTAATAATTATTATATAATTATAATAAGAAAAAAAGAAGAGGAGCCGACACAGAGTGAAAGAAAAAGACAGCATGAGATGACAATGAATGAAGCTTCGAGCAGCAGAGAGTGGATATGATTTAATTTTACTTCGTCCAATCATTTTTACTTCTTTCTTTGGAGCTTTTTTTTTTTTTTAATTTTGGCGCCAATCCAAAGTTAACAGTCATTATCCAAAATCTAATTTAATACCGCTATGGCAATTTATGAAATTAGTGATAATTTCTAAACTCGAATCATAAAATCAAATGAATTATTAAAGTTTTCCGACAAACTATAGTGAATAGTATGACAACGCAATTCATTCTTAAAAAATGTTCTATGCCATCTTTGAAAATTTGTTCGTATAAATCATTTATATATCATATAAAAATTAAAAATTGACATCGATTTAATGAGTTAAAATATTAATTTATAATATTTTAATATTTAGGATATCAATTTAGCACAACTTAATTTTTGAAATATCACTTGTATCAAATAATCAGCTACTTATTTTGTATATTTTAAAAAATTGAGGTATTTATATGTGATTTTATGATAAAACTATTACGTTAAAAAATTAGGGCTTCAATTTTATCGAGATAACAAAATAATAATGATAATAATGATGATGATGATGAGGATGATGATGGTAATTAAATTTGGTGAAAATGATTTATGTTTTACAAATTTTAGTGAAATGAAACTTTTGTGATTTGAAAAGCATTTTTTTTATCATTTTATTAATATCGATATATCAAACGTGAGGATAGAGTTCCAATTCTACATTTTTTTTTATATAGATTCCTTAAAAAAATAGGTTTGGGAGATTATTATTTAATAGATATTAAAGTTTGATTTGTCAAATAACATTTTTTTTGTTAAATTTGATTCCTAGAATTAGGGGTGGACACGGATCGGATATCCGAGATTTTTGAGACATATGTATCCGTATCCAATCTACATAAATATTCGATTTTGTTATCCGTATCCGATCCGTAATTTTCGGATATCTGCCACTTCAGATATTTGTAAAAATCACGGATATTTGCAGATCCGTACATCCGACCTAAAATATTATAAAAATTAAAATATAAATTAAATAACTAATTCAAATGTAAATAAAATATATAATTTATTTAAGATAAATGATATTCACAAATTTGAAATTCATAATTTAAACATTCCAAATCAATTCAAATACAAATACAAATACAATTATAATCTATCACATACAAATATATTCAAAATTCAAAATTCAAAATTCAAAACATTAAACATAATAAATCTTAATATTCAAAAGATTAAAATTATAAAACTCAATATATATATAAAATTTTTCTTGAATCACCTTAAAAAACATGTAAATATTAAGCATTTTAAATCTTCATACCAAATTATTCTTATATTTAATAATATTATTATAAAGTATGGATCGGATCGGGTATGTCGGATAATTCAATTTTAATATCCGTATCCGATCGTATCCGACAAATATCTCCAAATAAATATCCGTATTCAATCCGTAAACACCGGATATCCGAAATTTTCGGTTCGGATACGAATCGAATAACAGATTGTTTCGGATTTTTCGGATATTTTGCCCACGCCTACCTCGAATACATAGATTTGAATAAATAAGTAATCTCGTTTCTCTTCATATAAAATTATTTATATTATATTAACATACAATAATTTAATTTTAACTATTTTATCAGAGAGTCAGTTCCAACAAAGTTTGATTTTTGTACTTATTTTGGGATTAGAAGTCATATCATAAATACCAATAACTAACAATTGTAGACTTACAGAATTATCAATAACCTAAAAAATAATTACGGTCCAACAAAAAAAATTCCATGTAAATTTTATATTTTTCATGTCTCTTATATACTTTGAAACATTTAACTCAAAGGCTTGATGTACCATATATTTATAAAAAAATATCTCAAATTTTAAAAATATAATATCATGCTCGAAATGAAAATTAGATGTGGGGGTTATTATATGTAATATATAAATTTTAAGCAATAGTGGAAATCGGGTCGAGATCATGATGATGATGAAACAATAAAAAATAAAAATAAAAATAAAAATAAAATAGAATATGGAGATTTCAGATTTAGATATGAACACATATGATCACACGACGTGTCGAGACTTGTATGGAAAATGGATTTCATTGTTTCATGATTTTAGTTTCAAATGAAAATGGCTGCTCTATGTATTTTCCACGTGTCATCGAATGATTCAGTCCTCCTACTTCACTTTTTTGGTATTTTTAAATTTTTATCCACTTTTTTCAATTTTGAAATCATTATCTTTTTCATCTCCCTCACATACGTAAATGAATGATTGGATCAATAAAAGAAATAAAGATGACATGAAAATGATATCTTAAATAAAACATGATTTGATATATATATATATATACCTTTCAATTAGAATTGTTTTTTTCAATTACACTATTATATAATATTTAGATTTAATTTTATTTCTCTGTTTTTATATTTAATTAATATAAATATTACTTAACATTATCTAATATTCTCAAATCTTCTCTCTCCTTAAAAACACCACCATCGTTCTTGTGTTATCTAGGGGTGATCAATTCGGGTTTCGGTTCGGATTCGGTTCGGTTATATTCGGATTCGATTATTTCGGTTATAGAAAAACTATAACCATTCAGTTTTTACATAGATTTCGGTTCGGTTCGGTTATTTTTCAGTTCGGTTTCGGTAAAAAATTCAGTTTTTCAAAAAAATTGTCAGTTATTTTTTTCGGTTTTTTCGATTATTTTTTATTCGGTTCGCTTTCGTTTTTTCGGATTTAAAGAAATCATAACCATTCGGTTTTTATGTCGGATTCGGTTCGGGTACGGTTATGTGTTATTTGGTTCGGTTCGGTTATTCGGTTAATAACCGAAATGGTCATCCTAGTGTTATCTATGAAAGTAGCGTTTTTAGGACAAAATCCAAAACCAACTTCTCGTTTGCCACGTCAAATGAAAACCACGTGTGTATATAATATTGGGAATTATAGATTTTATTTTAAGTAACTCTACCCGTCAATATATTGCTATGTTTAATATTTACTTTAGTTTTATTAATCTATTAGGAGTTATATTCTTAAAAAACAATTAAAAACCCTAAAAAAATTGCTGTCTATTAAACACTTGCAATTATCAATAATAAGAAAAATAATTGCTTTACAATCTGACTTCCAATTATCGAAAATAAGAACAATAATTGCTCTACAATTTGACATTAATAATTGCTCTATTAGGGGTTAAAGTGTGTATCAAAAGGATCGGTCGTATTAAGGGGAAGATGAGGTCGAAGATGATATGTAAAATCAAGAACTGACAAAATTTTTGTCGATGTGGGACAAAATTTAGTGTTTCAGACAAAAGAAATTTCTCTGAGTTAGAGATTTGTTATAAAATAGTTACGGTTTGATGGCAATTGACTTCAAGATGCAACGACTTATGGTTCTACAAATGCAGTTTCGTCTAATAGAATCCATCAAACTATGAAAATTCAGAATTATCTTCAGAAAATGGTTAAGAGATCGAAATATTTATAGACATTCTATTTTCAAAAGTTACTACGAAAATATGTAAATGGAAAAGACCCACATTTTCTATCCAAATTATTGATTTTATTTGCCAAAGATTGTAAAATTTGGAGAAACCCCAAACTCTATTGATTGGGAGCTCTTTCCTCTCGTTGGAGATCATGAGTTCAATACTCTAGAGTATGAGTTTTCTCTGAGTTTGTCAATTTTGACAACTTACCTATTCCACGTGATTTGACAAGTATTATATGGAGACCGGTGGATTTATTTGACACACATTGTTTATTTTCCCCTATTTTTTTTATCACAAAATGGGGAAGAAGTTGGATCAAATTTATTAAGCTTTGGTCAATCTTGAATGCCAAAAATATATATTGAATCAAGGTAGAGGACTTCTTATATGGGGTTCTTTCCTCATTTTTTTTAAACTCCATGAGTGATGTGGAACAAATTCTCATTCACCACACCATTTTTGTTTTATTTCAAAGTGATCAATTTGAAACAATAATTTCTAATTCACCGCAAATTGATTTTAGGAAAATCAAAATGTTATAACCATCTATTCATTAGTAGAATTTTGAGTTATATGGTTTTATTTTCATATTATATCATAAACTGAGCCTTCTTCAATCTCTAACCGAGTCCATTACATCGATTCATCTTCATCATTTTATTATTATCGATCTATAGTATTAAATCTCACATGATATCAGTGCTTCTGGTTCTTTTCTAATTTGTTGTTCTTGTCATAAAAATGATGATTGATAATAAGAGTGAAGATGAAAATGATGATTTATCGATCCAATGGTAATATCATTTTGCGTTTTTTTTTATTAAGATTAAGAGAGTCATTTTGTTTTTGTTTTTTTTCTCTCATAATCCCATATGTTTCTAAAGATTATTCGTATAGCCGCCAATCATTTTATTCTTGCAAAAATTTGTTGTCACTAAACGCTTTCACGTAGTTGTCTTTCAATCTCAGATGAATCATAGTTATTCCCGAGACTCCTTTTTCGCACCGCGATTGTCGTCTTTTTTTGTTGCTATCATCGAACGATTCTTTTGTGCGTATTGCCAAAGTTGCAGTGCAATCGTTTGTTTGATTTTTTTTTCCCAGTTATATCTTCCATTGACACAAATTCCAAGGTGATGTGGTTCAAGCGGCATGCGTTTGATCATCTTTTCTGCAAGTTTGGCATTTCGTGATCTCCACACTCCAATTTGAAGGGGGATGTTGAGATATACCGGATCTTGAAAAATATTACAAGATATATCGTATATTGAGAATTTTATTAAATCCGAAAAATATATATTTAGAAATATTTATCATTATGCCTACTTTATTTATTCAATATAAAACTCTCATTTATTTATATGTTGTTTTGGTTATCAATAAAAATATTATTCCGTAAATTTCTACCGTCTTTACCACAATACATAATACCAATTTTCTAACGTGTATTCTTTTTCCATCATTGATGAAGGAACAAACAAAGAGTATTACGCCATTCTTGGGGAGTAACCATGAGCAAATATCACATATATATTTCGCTTTCTTCCGACCGGGACACCATCTTTGTTCTGAATCTCGTAGGAGAAAGGCCGAGTCACCGGGTTTCGAAGCCGATGAAATACAGTTTTTCTTCGTCTTCGGATCGTAAATCAGTTTCCAAAATATCGGGAGAACCGTTCTTGGGATCAATGTATGTGCATTATCTCAGGCAAAAGGCCTATAACCCATTCATGAGGGACATTCTTCAAAATCCACAGTGCAATAGTTTCTGACCAAAAACGACGAGGATGTTTCCATCTCTTGTCCATTAACGATGATGTTTCAAGAACGAAACCCTAATACCAAGAAGCGATCGAAGTGAAGATATATATATAATCAAGGGCTCCTACCATAATGCAAGATCATGACGTGATCAGTGGTTGATCCTTGAGGCAGAGTGAAATAAGAGGGTGATGATGATGGTGATGGTGATGATGATGATGAATCTTTAGGGCTCCATATCACATCTCTCACGTGATGGATGGTCGTCAACGGCGATAGTCGTTGCCCTCTACATCTTATCTCTACCTGTTCCATTTTCATCTATTAGAAAACCCCGTCAAAACTCCCCTTTATAGTTTCATTGCATAAAGATATATGCGCACACATATATATACATATATACACACATTGTTACGTGGGTCTTAAAATAATGGTAGACATTTAAATTTGGAAATGTAAAGTCATACCAGCTAAGGGTGGCCATTTCGGGTTTTCGTCTGGGTTCGGTTCGGTTATATTCGGGTTCGGTCATTTTGGTTATAGAAAAACTATTCGGTTTTTATAATAAACTTCTTTCGGTTTGGTTTGGATTCGATTTTTTGTTGTAAAAACTTATTTTTTTCACAGAAATTATCAGTTTTTTCGGTTATTTTTTTAACCGGTTCCGTTTCAATTTCGGTTTTTTCGCGTTATGAAAAATCATAACCATTCGATTTTTATGTCAAACTCGATTCGGTTACGGTTATGTCTTATTCGATTCGGTTCGGTTTGTTATTCGGTTAATAACCAAATGGTAACCACTAATACTAGCTAAATAATACATAATTATATTTGGATCTAATCTAAAATTGATTTGATATATACCTTTTTTAAAAATTAAACTAATTGAGTGTAAATGTTAAAAAAAAAACTAATGAAAATAATCTTTTGAATTAATATTTTACCGAAAACAATATACAAACTGAGTGAGTTTATCATATGAATCATTCCTAAGAAATATAATAAGTATAGGGAGTGATATTATCGCATGAATCATTCCTAAGAAATTGTATAATTAATAGGAAATAAAACTCACATAATGTGCACGCATGACGTATATATATAATATACACGTGATCCGTTCATGCATTTTAATATATTTGCATGTCTTAGAGATTTTAATTTCAATTAAATTTAGTTATATCCTTTTCGACGTCATGTAAGTCGTTTCCCCAACATTAAAATCTGCAACATTTAGTTTTATTTTTCGTAAATAAAATGTCATTTTTAGGTATTTAATGTAATTGGTTGGTGGAGAGATGATAATGTCTTCTAAAACTTCCATGGTAAGTGCACCACTTAGGCTTTTGATGGGACGTTTAATTTATAATCAAAATTTAAATTAAATCTTCAAAAACTATTCGCGGGAAAAAAACAAGAAAGCTGACCTTCGCAAAGCATCACGCTGACGTGACCAATGGCTATATAATTCGTACAAATTACAATATATATATATATATATATATATATATATATATATATATAGAGAGAGAGAGAGAGAGAGAGAGAGAGAGAG